CACAACTTGGAGGTCTAATCAAGGGACCTACTCTAATTGTGTGCAAGTTTTGCCTAACAGAATGACAGCAACCTGTCATGGCTAGTCTCACCAGATATACTGTAAAAATCTAGTCCCCGCTAGACGAGTCCAAGATTTTTAATTGGAAACTTGCAGACAAGGTTGTTACTTGAAATGAATCAATGCTGGAAGAAACCAGAAATTCAACCACTGTTCCAGCTTCTCTTTTTTATAAATATTTCAAATAACAAAACATACCCATACAAGGAATAGAGAGCTTACAAGAGGTCCAGAAAAGAAAGGAAAATTATCAACTGATGGTTGTAATTTTAAACGTTCCAAGAAAGGCAATCAAATTTCAGCTTTTTTATGCTAAGGATGTTGGCATGTTTGAAACATAAGGCAACAGACCGGCAGGAAGGAGACAAGTCGTGTTTGAGCCAAAAAAATGAAAATGAAGATTAAGCATAATTGGCTCTTCTCTGAAAACACCTAGACATCATGAAATTTGTACAAGTCCTGAATTATATTTCTCCTTACAAAGCTTTAGTGCAATCTTAAGGTTTTGCTTTGGGGTAACCTACATTTTGATTTTGAATGAATGTGCACATGACTTTCAAAGTAAATGTGCGCATGACTGCAAGTAAAAAAAGCAAAATGCTTTTAAAATTTTTTGTAAGGTATGAGGGGTGCTAGAAAATGTAAAGTGTAATGTTTCCCCTTAACTTGCAAACAGAAGATCTTGAAGCAAGATTTTAAAATTATTTATAGTAAAAACATTAGTTCACATAAACTTCCATACCTGCTATTTGCATTTTGTTGCTTTCTATTAAAACATATGGGCCATTCTGTTGCTCATCCATCCTTTTGGAGCTTCCTGCAGTCTGCTTGCGTTTTCAACATCCTGAATAACTGGGTGCCATTCAGACTTGACCAATCCATTCGTCAATGAATTTAATCAAATACCAGCATATGCATTTGAAAAACACCCAACAGGTGGAGATGGCCAGAGAGATGCTCCACTCATAAGCCCTCCAGAGACCACTGACAACCATTTGGTAATTAGCAGGTAAAGGTAACCACAAGCTTGGCGGTTTGAATCCCTTTGCTCTGTTTGCAGCTCCTGCCAACCTAGCAGTTCAAAAGCATGCCAGTGCAAGTAGATAAAAAGGTACCGCTGCAACGGGAAGGTAAAGGGTGTTTTGTTGCGCCAGAAGTGGTTTCATCATGTTGGCCACATGAAAGTTGTCTGTAGACAAAACGCCGGCTCCCTCAGCCTGAAATGAGATGAGCACCGTACCCCCATCACCTTTGACTGTACTTAACCGCCCAGGGGTCCTTTACCTTTACTGTGCAAAGCATTCGAGTACATTTTTACTACCAGATTGTGTATTCCTTCATTGGCAAGGATATAGTGTAGCTTAAAAGGAACGACTGGAACCAGCAACCAAGTGCTTACCCAGTCTACTGATTTCTTGCCGACAGTGCCTGATCCTTTGCCACTGGAGCAACTGCAAAACTTATCAGTGTATTATATTGGGAAATCCTAATGTGAAATGAAAAGATCTGTCTGCATGATAGATTTTGAAGTTACTCATGCAGACATTCAGCTCTCATCAAACACTGGCAACTTCAACTCCTGTTTCAGTACAATTTGCATAAGGGACAAAACGCAAACATTAGTCACCCAGTTTCAAAATGCCAAGCAAGAAGCCACGTTGAGAGGTCTTGGCAAGAACTAAGCAGGAATATTAAAATCTTTCTGCCGACCTGTCGAATTACTGCAAAATGATACTGAGTGTTCACAATACCTTGGTAACACCCTAATGTTGCGTGCTATGGGAAAATGTGAGATACGGATACCCAGGTAGTTGCTGACACCACAGTAGAAAAAGCTGGGAGCAGCCAAAATGGTGCTGTCATTTGGAGCAATGAGCGCAGATCCTAGGCATGCCGTGTCTGCGTTTTTTCTGAAACGACATCAGAGTAGACCATTTTGTGCTTCAGCTCAAACCCAAGTTTAATGTCTCTCTTTAGCACATGTAAAAAAAGCACCACTGTGCTGTATTTGACATACCTGCCGTTCTCTCTTGCATCACTTTATTTATCCTTTATTTTCTGTACTCATACTTCACTCATCTGATAAAATGGATTCTGGCCCATTAAACCTATAGCCTTAGTACACTTGTTCTTTCTTGCAGACTCTTATGAGAACCTTAACAGACTATGCTTGCAGTCCTATTCATACTTATCTGGGAAAACCACCATCAAACCCAAACACTGTTGAACTCAGTGGAGCTTGTTTCTGAGCAAAGTGCATGGAACTGCAGTGTTGTGTGGCCGCCCCCTTAAAACAGGCTCCCAGCCTGACTCTGATTGGCTGAGCAGGCACTGAATGCCCCTACCAGAGGGTCCAATGTGACAAGAGGTGGGCGGTGCCAACCATCCCCTAAAAGATGGCAGCACCTGCACTTTTTCCATCTTAAACTGGTATCCCAGCTAAGACCGAAGGCCAATAACCTGGCTTTAGTCCAGAAACTTCCACTACTGAGCAATATGGCAACAATTATGACCTTATTGCACTGGTTTGCTCCTTGACTGGGTTTTCATTAGCATATGTTCTACCTATACACCCCAGCATGGCATGGGACTTCCATAGCAAAAAGGAAGACAAGGCTCTCTAAAGTGCCTACTTAATGGAGGGTGGTTTCAAAGAGTGTTCAAACCAGCTGTCTCAAACATGTCTTCAAGTAGAGACAGCATTATGTATAATCTGATTCAAGTTGCTTCCTGTATGGTTTCTCAATAAACTTATTGAGATTGACTTATGATTACATACATACAAAACTGTCCTGGAAGGAAATGGGAGTAATCTATCTGTAGCCCCTCTACATAATTAAAGTCCAGAATGAACAACTAGTTCTATTTGAAAAAAATTGGTTATCTATCTCAAGACCAGCAAAACACAAACACTGTCAGGCGCAAATAAATTTTATTGGTTCATTTCTTGCACTTGAAGTACTCTTCGATGACATCTTTGGCCTGAGATTCCTTGCCATAGTCCTACAATAAGACAACACATTAATAAGACAATAAGCCAAATGTCAGAGCCCATTTTAGGGTACTAAAAACAGGGCATTCGGTAAAATAAAGTCAACCCATATTTAAAAACCAAAATGTAGCCATTTATTGGGACCTCAATGACTACCTAGTCTTCAAGGCTCGTACCCTGGCTTTATTATTGCCAGCAATAGTTTGCATTTCTGCAGAACACTTGAAAGTTAAGCAGATTTTATCCAGCTGGCAGTGTTGCCCATTAAACAAGAAAGGGAACAAATAATCAGTTTGTGTACCATTACAGAACAATCATTTAAAATGTTTTACTTATGAGAAATATGAGGTGCACATTTTAAATCTGGCAAGTATTCAGAAGATTAAAAGAGCATCAAAACATCAGTTAACTGTATGGGTAGGGAAACTGCATCTCTTTCAATATTCCCACATGCAGAAAGTCCCCTCTAACCCCAATTTCTCATTCACCCACCACAGGCGCCAACCAAAAATTTCTTTCTCTTTAAACAGTAGCAAAGCAGCAAGTGGTGTGCTTCTTTGCTGTTAACTGTTATGCTGATAATAGTTAAGACATTCAGGTCTGGATTAATCAAGCTCAAGAGCTGCAATTTGAGACCAAAATGTAGGCAACAGTATATAAAGGCACAATAAAACACTTAGTGAATAAAACTGCTCTAAAATATGTACCCATTTTTTTTTAAAGAGCACTTTCATCAACTTACTTTGACAACGACACAACTGCAGCCCACAACTTTACGGGGTTTTCCTTCTCTGTCGATCTTGCAGAGACCTACCCATTCACCCAGCTTCTTGTTGTCATCAACCTGTCAAAGATTTTTATATTCCATTAGTACTGCCTTCAAAATAACATGGTAAGCACAGAAAGCAAGCAAGCAAGCAAGCAAGCAAGCAAGCAAGCAAGCAAGCAAGCTGTACACTCAGAAATAAAGGGTAACGTTAGTGGTTGTTCTCCTCACAAGTCTCAGTAGAGGGAGCCAAGTTATCATCACTGTACAGCGTGAACAGTACTTAAAAAGTCAAGCATCTAGATCAGGCATAGGCAAACTTGGCCCTCCAGATGTTTTGGGACTACAACTCCCATCATCCCTAGCTAACAGGATCAGTGGTCAGGGATAGTGGGAGTTGTAGTCCCAAAACATCTGGAGGGCTGAGTTTGCCTATGCCTGATCTACATGCTACATTCAGTAGAAAATATTTTACTGAACAAGCGAAACAGCTTTTGCATTCAATTATCAATCTAAAAGAAGTACACAATCATTACCTTTATCAGGTTGATTTGATGTTCAGCACAAAGTGCTTCAACCAGTTTGACATACATGGGCTCGTCACAATTGGATGCGAGAACACAAAGGTGGGCTTGGCGTCTAAAACAATAGACCATTATTAGTTACACAGTGGACTACAGCAAAGATCCAATTCCAAGTTGCTCTTCTGTTCACCCAGAGAGGCCAAATTCCACTGACTCCCCACCTGCAGTTTCCCCAAACCATTCCCATGAGTCCACAAATCAATAGGACATTATCTGGGGAAGTAGAACAGGGAATCTCTTTCTGTGTATTCTTTTCAAGACAGATGAGGAAAATTGGGATCAAAGTCATGGATCGTAAACAGTATTTTTGTTTTCTTTAGACTTTGAAGTTAGTAACAAAGAACTGCACAACCAGTATACTAGTGAATTTCATACCACTGCTGCAATTTAAATTTAGTTTAAAGTACCAGGTGCCCCATCAGTAACAATTTAGTCCAGGTTTTTAAATGTGTTTTATTTATCTAGTTACGAGTAATCTTAACACAACCATTCAGAATTTTTCAAACTACACTGGGTGCTTTTACCATATTACTCCCACCACTATGGCCTTACTAGACTATTTGTGGCTCCTACTCTTAAGACCAATCTGTATGTACAGGTTTGTCAGACTATTATTCTCACTCATAGTAAGAGTGAAGGGGTATCCGACTTTTTAAAGTGAGTCATCATTCAAAACCTGTAGCTCTCATCTCAAACTGTTGAACACTTTGTCCTGCAAGCCATAGAAGTTCTTTCTCTGCCCGTCTTTCACTAATTTCTGAAGACATTTTTATTCTAGCAGCCTGTTACCTGCTAAATACAGTGGTACCTCGGGTTACATACGCTTCAGGATGAGAACAGAAATCAGGATGAGAAGAGAAGCCCCATTACCTAAAGTGGTGCTTCAGGTTAAGAACAGTTTCATGTTAAGAACGGACCTCTGGAACGAATTAAGTACGCAACCAGAGGTACCACTGTATATGCTGTTTTAATTAAGTTTTATTTGTGGTCTCTGCCATGGTTGTATTTTAATTATTTTTACAGGATATAAGGTTTTTTTTAATATTGTAAGCTACCCTGAGCAACTTTATTTTCACACTTACAGAAAATGCATGACCAAACTCCAACATGGAGGCACACATACTAGTTAACATCCAGCACTTACTTGTCTAAGGCTTTGGCAGCTTCACGAATTCCACGGGCTAAGCCATCGTGGATAAGTGCGGTCTTCAGCACTTCTTGAAGGGCGGTGTTGACATCCATTACACCTCCAGCAGCAATGCTAGCAAATGAAAAATCAAAGAAGAACATGAACTTGCTTTATCTCACCAACGTTCACCTAGGCCCCTTTTGCTGTTAACAGTGGCCAGCCAGATATTTTTGAACTGGCATGGCACTTAAATCAACATCTGGAATTGGACATACATTGTATCCAAACACTGATTCATTCAACTGATACAGCAGAGTTTTTTTTGCACAGGTCTTAACAAAAGGTCATGGCTTAATTTGTCATGGCTTAATCCTAGAAGCTCCTAAAACTGAATTTCCTACATTACTGACAACTTTAAATGAATGTTTGGTAACAGAATATTAAGTTTGCACACCACCTTGTTTAGTAAGCAACACTACCAGACTAATAAAATCTGTTTAAATTGTGTATGCACAATTTAAAAATAATGTGCCATGGAGTTTTTGTTACTTGCAAGCTTGCTAACCTCACTGATCATTTTTTTCCAGATCAAGTAAGAAATAAAGCCAATCCAAATATGTTATCCTTTTTACTTCTCAAGTTGCAAAAACTGTATCCCTAATCCCTAATTTTGGACCCAGCTTTCATAGGTGTCTTTAATAAGAGTGGCTGGAAAAAGAGGGTTCTCTTTTAAACAGTCCCAAGTTCAAAACTGCAGCTTAGGAGCCACAATGCTGATTTTAAGCTGATCAAGGCCATAAAAAGAATGAATTAATGGAGATAATAAGTATTGTTTCGTAAATTACAATTCCAACTCTTCCACTCTGCATGCTGCAACCCATGAAGCTGCTGACTACAGCAAAATCAGCACCCTGATAATTTAATGTGGGGAAAAGGGCAATAAGCCAAACACTGGAGATATATCACTAGTAACAGTGGTTTGGGATGGGGTTGTAAGGAGCATATCAACACAGCCAATTAAAACTCAGAACACTAATAAACATTCTGGGATAAACTTCTACAGACTTTAGTGCAGCTTTAGCCTTAAAACAAAGAGGCAATGAAAAAGACATGGAGTAACACCAAACTGTAACACTCCTAGGGTACCATAGGGTTATGTTGCAAGGATAAAATAGGAAGGAGGGCCACGTTGGAGGATCAATGCTGTCATAATGGCAATAGCAGTGAAGTCGACACGGGACAGGACGTTAAGTCTCTGCACAGCAGGCTAAAAACCTCTCTGAGATTTGCAAGGACCATTTGCTGCTCCGCTGGAATCCCACGATAAATCAAATTAATGTTTACAGACGTCCAGTTTCCCACCATCCTTCCCATCCCGCACTGGCGTCCAGGAACGCCCCCCCCCCCGCTCCCTTCACCGCATGGAGACTCCGGATTCGCGGGGGGGGGGGAAGGAATAGGGTGCGAGCGCGCACAGGTGTCCGCAAGGAAGAGGAAAGAACTGGAAACTTTCTTCCTGCAAACTTTCAGGCCCTCCCGCAACATGGACGGAGTGGCCTATTTTGCACTGAAGCGCCATGTTCCAGTTATCTGAAAGCGGCCGGAGGGGGCGGGAAGAGGAGAAAGGCTCTGCAGGGCCTTCGCTAAGCACGTGGTTCAAGCGGCCGCGAGGAGAGCAACTTGGGCCCAGCCACGTGCAGCCAGCAGGCGAAGTCCCCGCGCGGGGCCCGGAAATCGGGGAAGAGAAGGAGGGAAGCTTCCGCCCCGTCGCCGTCCGCTCGCACTTACCCTTCCTCGGCCATGGTTGGTGGTGACTCTCCCGCCCGGGGGGTGGCTGAAACAAAAGAAGGGAGCCTGTTAAACGGGGAGCGGCAGAAAACGAGAGGGAGCGAACAGTAAAGAGAGTCGTCTTTCTTCTCTCCCCCCCCCTAAAAACAAGGAGAAACAAGGGGGGGGCGAGAGACCCGACACGAGCTGCACCCACCTCACAGCTTCCACGAACCGATGGTGAAAAGGAAGGGGCGGAGCAGCCCGCCCGCCTATTTAAGGCCGCGAGGACCCCGCTCTCCTTCCCTGCGCAGCCGCGCGCGCGCGCCTGCAGTTTTAGGCGTCCAACCATTTCGCCTGCTCGGAGGCGAAAAACAAACGGAGGTTAAAGCCGTTGCCGGTAGTTCCTTAGGAGACCTTGCGGTTTGCGCTGAGCGAACCATCAGTTTGCCTTTATATAGAGGAGCGCCCCGGTGCTATAAATGCAGACGGGGGGGGGCGCCCGTTATATTGCCCGGCTGGCTGCAGCGGCTAGGCGTGCTACCATGAAGCACTGAGACCCGCCGTGCCTGCTCCGCCTCCAGCTTCCCTGTTGTCCTGCGCGAACACACAGCGCTCCTCACTCGCAGTGTGCGACTTCTTGGCAGTTACTGCGCGAAGAGGAGGAGGAGGATGCCTAATTCTCCACGCTGGATAGACACAAAAACACAGACACAGAAACACCCAATCATTCAAAAGGCACCGGCGGGAAAGTCGGCGGGCGGACCAGGCTGGAGCAAAGCACAACCCGAAAGAGGGTTCCTAGGTTGCTGGTCTCGAGCAGTCCTCCCTCCGAGGCCTCCCTGTTGCTGGAGCCGGAGCCTTTCCTTCTCGCCCCTCCGAGAGCGCTCCGGCTGCCGAAAGGTGAAAGCGCCTTCCTCGCAGCTGGCGACCCTCCACTTGCCGCGTGGGAATGCGGGGCAGGGCTGCTAAACCTGCCCGCCTTCGAGGCTCCTTGTTGCTGCTCTTCTTTCTGCTCCGGAGGAGAGTCGGGTCTCTGTGGAGACGCCCCTCCAGGGTCGCCCTCCTCCTCGCCAAGAGTCGCTTTTATTGTGGATCTTTCGGTGTCTCTTGGGTAGATTAAGCCGGTGTAGGAACAGATGAGTCCCGAGATAATGGCAAGAAATACGCCCCACTGTTCCCTCAAGCACCAGCTGGGGATTGGCCGGAATGGGCAGGAGGGGCTCGGATTGTAAAGATGGACCTTTGCCAAATACCGTATTTTTATACCAGTGGTTGGCTGGGAGAAGTTTTTGAGGTTTAAAAAGCGCAGACAAAACCTTAACTTGAATGGTGTGGTCATAAGTTGGCCACATCACTGCCACATGTGGTAGCTTTGGCACTTCCTAAAGGCTGCTTGGGGCATTTGTGGAATGCCCTTCTACGCAGAATCCAGAACGAATGCATTTGCTAGACTAAGATATAGATTATCTAGATTATCCAAGTAGCAATAGTACTCAAAAACGCTGCGCTCAGCAGAGATGGCAGGATCTAGTGCAACACACAAGAAACAATGTGTGTGTACTGTACATTGTGCTAGAAAGGTGGAAACATTTGAGTACACTCTGCACATGAAATGGGAAGGTTTTGGTTTTTTGTATTAAAACCCTCTGAGTGGCATGTTCATTTGTTATCAAGAAGTATATCCTGCCTTTCTAAAAGATAGTCAAGACAACTTACAACATACCAGCAGGGAAAGTGTAGTCAATGGTAATTATGCAATAGGCAGTTATAATTCACAAAACAGTTGTTGGTAACACAGGCATCCTGGTACAGTATTGGTAAACCATTGAACACATATACCACGCAAATCATTCTTTGTATTGCTTTGTATTAAGTCATCTTGAGTAAGGAGAACAGAGGAGCATTAATTTCAATGGAATTTGCTTTAAGTAAGTGTGTTCAGGATTTCAGGCAGCTCATATCTCCTGATCCATCATGTAATGATTTTGGGGCAGATGTGCAGCTAGCAGAATGAGTAGGACTCTCCCCAAATGGGGCTGGCTTACCACACTCTGGAACACACATGGCCACCTTGAGGGGTGACCCTCTGGAAGGCATGGTTGTCAAATAATAGACATACTTAACTAACTGACCAATCACGTCAATTCTGCCCCACCCCCACAAAAATCCTGGCTACGCCCATGCTGGAAGGTCAGTAAATGCAGAGTCTAAAATTACCAAATTGCTTCTGGTAACAAGTTATTAAAAAATATTAATTCTATCCTCCTCATTCCAAAGATGCTCAAGCTGGCTAACAAACAGTAATACACACAGAATAAAAACAAACCTAATCCCTACAAACTCCCAATGCACACTGACCTTAGCAAGTTATCAATGACTAACAATTCTGCCTTTGATTATAAAGTTAGTGATACAGAATAAACAATTAACTATTTCTTATCTGACCTTGCAGTTTTGAATTTCTGCTTCTTACATTATGTTAATGAGGCACAGCATTACTTAGAATACTATTGACCATATTTTGCTTTAGAGAGAAAACTAAGAGAGTTAATACCCTTGATAACCTCTGAATCTCCACCAAGTGTCGTTATTACTTTATTTCTACTAACATATTTGGCTTTTCCCCCTTCTTGTCTGTCTGTGATGTTCTTTTCTTTTTTTCTTGTCTGTTTTGCCTATCTGTGATGGAAAACAGACATACTTGGAATATTGCTGTTCTCCACTGAAAAGCTAAATCTTTTAATGTGTTTCATGTTCAGCAGTAACTTGAAAAAACATAGTATGCTGCAGCTTAAAAGCCCAGCATGCAAGTGGGTTGGATTTGAAGGAGGTGGGGTGGTGAAGTTATACCAGACCAGGGACGCGGACTTATAAAAAATATTGGGGGGGCCCGGGAAAGCTCATGAATAATAAATAAGCTCATGAATATGCAAATAAAGTGGCGCCGCCTCCTCGTGAGCGAATAGGGGAGAGCGTGCTGCGCCTATTAATCAGCTCCAAAGGAAATTGGGTGGAGCTTTTGCTCGGGAGGGAGGGCAGGAGGCATGCAGCCGGCCCCTCCCTGTGCATTTTGGGCTGGGGGAGGGGCGGCGATGGCGCTCTGCTGGAGGGGCGCCGGAGATTATTGGGGGGCGGAGCCCCCCCAAACGAATTTTTGAGGGGGCTCGGGCCCCCTCAAGCCCCATGGAGTCGGCGCCTATGTACCAGACACAATTAAAACTGCTCAAAAAGAAATGAGATGCTTGAAAAGAAGTGGGAAAGTATCCCTCCCCATTTCAAGAACCTGGTGCATCAGATATTAGTTTAAAGGCCTGCCACTCACTTTGAAGTAAGGAATTTTGATGATGGGACTTTGGAATATAAAACAGCCCAATTACAGGGTTGGGAATTTTAAAACCAAGAAATTACTCCTACAAAGATACATTTTTTTAAAAAAAAAAAACTTTATTCCACTGTGAGTAAATTGTACACATATATAACTGCAGAAGTAAGCCAACCATTCTAGGCCTAAAAATTTAAATACATTGTGTGTGTGTGTGTGTGTGTGTGTCTGTGTGTGTATGAAGTCGTAGGTGCCACTCCTAAGCAGCAGTGTGGTGAAGCAATACCACTTACATCACAGCAAAGGTCATTGATATCAACTCTTGGTGCAATAGTCTGTGTGCCAAATAAATGAGTTTTTGTTAAGAGAGACAGAAAAACACACACTAATGAGGCTGAAACATGCCTAGCTAAGTCTTAAGCTAACACATTTATTCTGGAAAATCCCAGAATTATTTTAGTGCGACCAACCAAAATATCACAAAATAGTGAGCAAACTCTGAAGTGAGCAAACTTTATAAGGCTGGATGTTTTGTAAATGGAGTGGGGAAGCTGCCTTGATTCCGAAGCCAAATTGGCCGCATTGATCAAAAGTTCATTTTTGCCATATAGTCTTAGAGGTGTGTTGCCATAATGAAATGAAAAACACAGCACTTGGCTACAGCACTTAGCACTGCTCCTACATTTATGGAAAAGGAAACAAAATTAACTGAGGAAGTGGGTTCAAGGCTGGACTCAACACCATTTGGTTAGAATTACAATGGCAGTCAGAGAGCATGTGCATTGCACTTTTAAGAATACAAATGTTTGAACTGCTCCTGGGCTGAAACCACAGAGAGGTGAGTTGCCCACATTTCCACATGAGCTCTCCATCCTAGGCAGTTTTCCACAACGCAGTTCAGGCATTTGCTGGAGATACTTCACATATAGAAGAAATGAGGTCTGTTTTAGCTTTCTGATTATTCTGTGGTCACCATGTCCACCCCCTCACCCCCTGCCCAGAGGCATGCAAAAATAGCCATGGAAATACATTGGCTCCTTCCAGAGGAGGGCATCACATTTCTGAATGACTATTGAAACCAGAGATGAGCTGCTTACATCACTGTCGCGAATGGGTCGGTTGCACCTTGGGAGTTGAAGACACCCACGTAAGATACATCGACTTCAATGGGTCTCACTTCGAAATCAGGCATGCTTGCAGTCGCAGCCAAGTTAGCCCCGCTGAAACAGCTCCATCAGATTTTCAACAAGACTGCTTACGGATGTCTTAAGTCATAAAAAACGGGGAAAAAACCTCTCTTCAGCTGCAGGGTCACTTCTAAAATTCCCAGCGGCCTCAGGATCTAAGACTAATAGTACCAGTGGCTGAACCAGAGGAGGAAGTTTTACGCCTTTAAAAAGCCCCCACCCCGAGGAAAGCTTGCGGGATGAGGCAACTTCCGAGCGCAGCTTTCAACTAACCGAAGTGAAGCCTGCCGGGATCCGGAGCGGGATCAGAGTTCGGCGCCGGTTTGCTTCCGAAGCTGTTTCCCCGCTGCCGCCCGGCAAAACCGTTCTGCCGAGTGGATGCCCCGGGCTTGAACCTACTGGGTCGCAGCAGCTGAAGTCGTTGCCCCTCCTTGCTGGGAAGATCCGGTTGTTACTTGTGGAAAGCCCGGGAGCCATCGCGCTTTTCTCGCGGGGGGAGGAAGTTACCTGAAGCTACAGCATCCAGCCTTTTCTTCCCTTTTCCTTATTTTACAATGGGCAGCCCCGAAGCGACGGGCGAGTTTCCAGGTGGGTGTAAAAATGCTCGGAAATGCTGCTGTTCGATTAGCCTCGCTTCGAGAGGTCTCTTTCCCTCTCCCCGCGCTCTCTATCTCCAAATCCCCGGGCGGGATTGAATCCTAATAGCGAGTTGTCCGACTACACACTCAGAAATGTATCCCACTGGTTTTAGAGTTTACTCACAAGTAAGGGTGATAGGGTCGCAGCTCGCATGCAATTAGTTATGCTTTAGCAGCCTTTTGCTATACTACACTCCAAACAAGGTAATCAAAACAAAAATAACAAGGTAAATTGGCTATAATCCCAACAATTAATCCGTGTTTTTTTAAATTGTGGAGTTATATACAATGACGGGGCAGTTTTATTCTGGTTGCTAGAGAGCTAATTACTTTTTGCCAGGCTTCCTTTCAACATCTCATTAATTTGACTTTCTGCCTTTTTACCTAACTGTATACAGTTACATGGGAGTAAGTCCCATTTGACTCATTGGGGTTTACTTCTGAGTAGACGTACATAGCACTAGGCTGTTACTTTCCCCCACCTGAGCCAACTCCTTCCCCAAGTTTTATTCCCCAAGAAGTGAATAAAAGGGGGTGGTCTTAAGTTTTGAGTGTGTAAAGATAGCTGAATAGTAGAAATGACATGAGTCTCCCTGAAAAAATGATTAAATCACAGTAGGACACACCCACTGACACTGCAATTGCATGTGGGCTTATCTTACATTAGAACATGAAGGTAACAAGGTACAGCTATTTTAGACCCCTGTACTGCTAGCCTGCACATGTTGCTTATTTCATTGTACTATTAGACTTAGGTGTGGTCCTTTCTCAATGGAACTCAGGGTGGTTCTTTCATACATTATCCACACAACCAAACCGGAAAGGTAGGTTATGGAATAAAGCAGTGTGTGTGGCTATTCAAAGGTCAAACCTAGGTTTTGTCTCTTCATTTCTCCCCACTCTCAAATGACTTGAGTTTCAAAAGCTCTTAGCAAATTAGCATGTGGATCTTTCTCAGGCTAGAACAAAAATACAACCTAATATGTACTTTACAACTTAATAAGTTTCTTATTTCTACCCCTTTAGCGCAAGTTTATTTAGAATGTTGGCCCAGATTACTGGACTCTGAGGGTGCAAGTGGATCAAAGGGAATTGCATTGGACTCTTGAAAAATCTGAACTTTTTATATTTCTAATTTAACCTGTGAAAACTGTACATGTATTGTTTCTACTTTTAAAGTCATATGCTATCTTGCTTTTTACGTTCTAAGAAATATATTTTTTTCCTTCTAAGACAATGACATACCACAGGTGGCAACTGAAGAATCCCGAAGGCTCTCTAAAGAACAGATATTTATACTGGTAGCTACAGCATCTATCAACTTCAGTTCAATGATTTGCTACTCAATCCTCGGACCTTTTTTCCCAAGAGAGGTAAATGGATATACAACTTGGCAATCCAGTGCTTACATCATTACAACTTTTAAAATGAAGACTTTGATAGACTTGCTTGATGACACTTTGTCCAGTAACATGTCTAACAAAAGTCTCGTTTCCCATTGTCTTTTAAAAATCGGGTTTTTCCTTGCAATTTTCCATTGAACTGCAAATAAGGAAAAATGAGGGAGGAAACACTATATAAATAGAATCATAAAATTGGTGAATCCAATTTCTCTACCCATAATTTTTAAAAATCTTCTATTTGGGAAGTGTCTGAAGACACTTTTTGCCATTTGTTCTCATGGATAATACTTGAAGGGTTGTGAACTCTCTAGGCCAGGGTTGGGGATCTTGTGGCCCTCCCAATGTTGTCATCTGAGTTCCTGACCATTGGCCGTGCTCTCTGGGGCTGATGTGAGTTGGGAGTCCAACAGCTTCCAGAGGCCTGCAGATATCCCATCCTTGCTCTGCTAGACCTTTCCCCAGAGACCTGTCCCACCAACAACTTTCTACGGTGGTAGGAAATATTTCGATTTCTACTTTTCGTGTAGGTGCATTCATACACCCCTGTGTATAAAATGCAGTGTGGGAAGCAGCTTTGAACCCATGCCAAATAAGCAGATATGGGGCATGTGGTGTGGTGGTTTATTTTCTTTCCATGACTAGGGCAGGGCACATTCTCTTCTTCAGAAAATAAAACACCATGTCAGGAGTGCTCTGATGGTGTTTCCTGCTTGGCAGGGGGTTGGACTCGATGGCCCTTGTGGTCCATTCCAACTCTATGATTCTATGATTCTATACCTTGGCTAAGTGCCTGGTAGATTGCAGGTCTGTTACAAAGTTCTACTCATGTGAATTTTGCTTTCTCCCCCCCCCCCCCCATTCATTTGGTGCAGAGATTCATAGATCCACAGGGTTGTTCAGCAGCAAGCCAGCTGTTCTGCTACAGTGTTTCCTTGGACTTCCTTGTCAATACTAAGGGAGACTTGAGAGACTTCTGAATTGGAATGTCCACCAGCAACGTTTTGTAATAATTAAGCCATTTTAACTGCCGGTATTTCTGGCTTGATGTAGATTTCTTTTTGTTCCAAGTCATTGTGTTTAAAGGAAACCTTTTCTCTGGTGGAATCCACACACACACACAAAAACGCTGTAAAATGCTTTAAAAAAAGTTTTAAAAATACATTGAATTTTGCATAGCTCACTATTTGTATATTACACTTTACAACACATTTAAAGCGTTTTTTGTTTTTTTTGCATCTGTGTAAGCTGAGTCCTCTTTTTTTCTTGTTTAAGGCAGAAAAGAAAGGTGCTAGTAACACTGTAGTTGGACTCATTTTTGGATGCTTTGCATTATTCAACTTCTTGACTTCTTTGATCATGGGAAAGTATGTAAGTATGTTTGACAATTTCCATAATGTAAGCTTCAAATATCGTCAGAAGAGCAATGTAATTTTCATTTGGCTATCTTAAACTCCTGCCTGTGTACATCCTTACTAAGGTGTTCTAACACATCTAGAAAATCTCAAGCTTCCTAAATGAATTGCCATAAATTAAAGGGAAGGGTTTTCCATGCTTATGGAGTCATTACTTTGAATACCTTTCAGTCTGTCCTGTACCCTTTGCAAACAGGTAGACTCATTTGAAAGGTCCTCTCAGCAGATCCCAAAATGTGATGAGACAGGAGGTCTCTAAAATTCATACCACCCAATGAATCCAGGTCACTATAGCCTAATACCCATTATCCTGAATTGTACAAACAATGAAGAGACATGTGGCTTGCAGCAATGTGCTCCCATTGAGCTTCATCCACCATCTGCTATACCAGTGCTTGGAGGTGGTGATGGACTTAATGCAGGACAATAAATGGAAAGTGGATCCTAAGACGACACAGGTGTTATGTGTGGTGAGATCTTGACTCCAGGAGGTATAACGGCAACCTGTTCTGGGCAGGCTTGTAGTCACCTGGACAGAATAGATCTATACCTTGGGAGGATCCAACATGGTCACTGGAGGCTCAGGTAGCCCTGGTGGCTAGGCGTGTCTTCTTCCAGCTGTGGCAAGTTCACCCCTTGTAACCCCCTCTTGGACGGATGACTTAACCTTTGTATTTGGACTACTGCAGTGGGTTTATTAGCTAATGGGAGTTCTGTGTTGCAGCAAGGAAAGTAGCAGCAGCAAAGAGTGTTGTAACAGTTAATTGCACCTGTTGCTGTTGTGAAAGTAGGTTAATTCACTTATCCATTTAGAATATTTTTAGGTGTGATAATGAGCTGGATGTAAATCTGTAGAGTGGGAAGACGTTAAGCTCACAGATTTTTAATTTTGTTTTCATAAAAAACTGAAGGAAGAACAGTAAATTTGAGTCCTAAAACTTCTATAAAACTTGCAGAAGCGCTATAACTTTATTATTCTGTAATTTACAGCTTGTACAGATTGGTGCAAAGTTTATGTTTGTTGCTGGAATGTTCATCTCAGGAGTTGCCACAATTCTCTTTGGGTGAGTGTGTGTTGGGATTATGATGCATCTTAAAAAAATAAAAATAAAAATTATTAAAAGTACTTTATATGGGAGTTCAACTCAGTAAGCTAGGGCCTAAGCCATTGCTGTTCTCCTGGACCTCATATATTTGGCAGGATATAGCATCTGTTAATATTTTTCATATTTTTGGCCATTATCAGAACTGCATTTTTAAATCTTCCATGCTTTAAGAAATATAAATCTATACATCGTTTGTATGATCCAAAAGATTACTTAAATGCTTTGCCCAAAGCAGCTCCTGACCCTTACATGCAAAAGGACACAGGCTCAAGATGTGGATATGGATTCTGCTTCACTCCAAAGTACATTTCCCTTTGAAATCCCAAAAAAGTGGAAATGTAAATTGGTTAGGGGTCTGTTCGTTGATGCTTGATGCCTTGTCCAAAGCAGCTCCCAACTTATGAACCTTTGTTTAATTGCAGTGCTTTTCTCAGATATCTTTTATGCATTCACTGCAGACGACAACTTTGCCAGGCAGATTTGACCCAATATTTGCCATAAGGTGCAGCCTGTGCTACTTACACAAGAGGGCCTTGCCAACATGTCTATTATACGAGAGCACTGTACTAGATGTGTTTATGCATAAGAGGCCGAGGAGCTGCATTAACTTTTCTTTTGATTTTAGGATGTTGGACAAAGCACCCGATGGGCCGATATTCATAGCGTTGTGTTTTGTAGTTCGAGCCATGGATGCGATTGGCTTTGCCGCAGCCATAACAGCCTCGTTTTCTATTCTAGCAAAGGCTTTCCCCAACAACATTGCTACAGTTATGGTATGTATGAAGCCAGGAGCTGATTTCGAGTAATCACAGTTAATGTGTAATGTGGCATGATACTGCTTTAAGAGCCAGTGTGGTGTAGTGGTTAAGAGCGGTAGTCTCGTAATCTGGGGAACCGGGTTCGCGTCTCCGCTCCTCCACATGCAGCTGCTGGGTGACCTTGGGCCAGTCACACTTCTTTGAAGTCTCTCAGCCCCACTCACCTCACAGAGTGTTTGTTGTGGGGGAGGAAGGGAAAGGAGAATGTTAGCCACTTTGAGACTCCTGAAGGGGAGTGAAAGGCGGGATATCAAATCCAAACTCTTCTTCTTCTTAAATGTGTGGCAGCATTCTCTGCAGGGTTCTGGGCTGGAGTCTTTTCCATCCCTGTCTGAAGAGACAAAAGGGGGGAGGGGTTGAACCTGTGACCTTTTGGCTGTGAAGCAGAAGTTCTAACTCTTCAGATGCTCTTGGGAGACCTGCATCACACAAATAACATCTTGGGTGTCGTCTCAATACACTGAAATTAACTTGGGAAAGTTTCATTTGGTAAGGGATGTTAAGATCGTGATGTTTTAATTTTGCATGACAATCACAAGCAACTAAACTACAAAGGCAGGTCTGTGTTGTTGCTTTAAGAGCTGACCTTTTAGCTGAATGCTGACAGCACCAAACCAGAAAAAATCATGACTAGATGATAGTATATAATAGCTTTCACTACACCATGTGAGCTTAGCTTTAGTATCCTTGGACCAATATTGTTCTCTCCACCCCCTTTTAACTTTAAGAAAACAAGCTTGTGCTTTACCATTGTGGCATTGGGGTAGACAAGATTTATTTATTTTTTAAAAAAGAGATTAAAGGTTTATATATACACAAACACTCCATAAGCCAAGAAAAAAAAAGTTAATACATTCATAGAAGCAAAACTTAGCACTTCACTGATGCTAATGAAATGTGTAAAAGGTAAAGGGACCCCTGACCATTAGGTCCAGTCGTGACCGACTCTGGGGTTGCGGCGCTCACCTCGCTTTATTGGCTGAGGGAGCCGGCGTACAGCTTCTGGGTCATGTGGCCAGCATGACTAATCCGCTTCTGGCGAACCAGAGCAGCACACGGAAACGCTGTTTACCTTCCCGCCGGAGCGGTACCTATTTATCTACTTGCACTTTTGTGCTTTCGAACTGCTAGGTTGGCAGGAGCAGGGACCGAGCAATGGGAGCTCACCCCGTCGCGGGGATTTGAACCGCCAACCTTCTGATCGGCAAGTCCTAGGCTCTGTGGTTTAACCCACAGCGCCACCCGTGTCCCAATGAAATGTGTACTTATCACTAATTCTGTCCTGCTGCACCAATCTGATGTCATTGTTGTCCTTTCTTTCTTTTTTTAAGGGCAGCCTTGAAATTTTTACTGGACTGGGACTAGTGCTGGGCCCTCCTCTCGGCGGCTTTTTGTACCAGTCTTTTGGCTATGAAGTCCCTTTCATTGTACTTGGGTGCCTAGTGCTGATCCTGGTGCCGCTGAACATGTTCCTCTTACCAAAATATGGTAAGTGGTGTCTTTTTATTGCCTTTTAGTTTGAATTGGGTTGGAACGTCCCTATTCTCCACTGTGAAGATTGTCTCTTGGAGCCTGTTTTTCCACACATTAATGTAGGAAACTTTCCTCTCACCTGTGGTAATACTGGTGACGGTAATAGCTGTGCCCAATCTAGAGCCCTTGTATTATAAAATAATAACAAAAACAACAAGAATATACCATTCTTCATCAAAACATCACAGTATAAAACACAAAATACATAACATAATAGCAAATAACGCCCCCCCCCAAAAAAACATGCATACTCAGGAGGGTTTTTCCAGTCTATCCTGAATGCTAGCTTTGCTTTATTTCCCCTACCAAAGGACAGGACTGGAAAGCGTAGTAAAAAGTCCCTTTGGGTGTTGCAGGTAGTGGCTTTCTGTGCGTTTCTGTGATACTTTTGAAGTGCGTTAAAGCTGGAGATGAAATTGATGCAGGTTTTTGTAACATTTTGAAAGCCTGAGAAACCTGTTTGGCCCAAGTCAAGATATTGGCAGTTTCATTTTCAATTCTTTTCCTAATGATCCCAATTGTAGAATTTGCCCTTTTCACTGCAGCCGTACATTAGCTCTGTTTTCACTGAGCTAGCCATTGCAACCCCAAGATTGCTTTCCGAGTAATCACTTACACCTCAGAGATTCTTGATATATATGTATGAAGTTAGGATATTTTTTGCCCAATTGTGCCCTAGTATGCTCTTGTTTGCATTGAGCCAGCATTCTAATGTTCATTCCCCTAGGGTGAAGAGATCCTTTTGGAGCTCTTTACTATTCCAATAAGTTGGTGTCGTCAATGAACTTGGCTGTCACAGTATTCACTTCCTTCCTCTAGTCTAGATCATTTATGAACAATATAAAAAATAGTGGTGCCTACTAGTATTGATCAGGTGGGGGTGGAGGAGTGGGACACACTGTTCACTCTTCACTGCAAGAACTCTCCACTCCATTTATTCCTTCTTTCTGGTTCCTGGTCTCTAATCAGTTAGGGATCCATAAGAGAATCTCTGTGCTTTTCCCATGACTGCTAACTTTGCTCAGGAGTCTTGTTTTTCTTTGTCTACCTCTGTTTTCCCAGTGTCAACTTTTAAAAAAATATTATTTTATCATTTTATCGATACAAACAACAACTGTAAAAGACAGATACAACAAAAACCATAATAACAATAACACAATTGGACAATTCAGATTTGAATACACTGATATACCTATGACTACACCTTTTTAAACAATATTTTCCCACCTCTCTCTCCTCCCCCTACTTCCCACCACTATTCCCAGTGTCAACTTTAAAGATTGTATGCTGCTTTGGGGCAGGGCCCTATCCCATTCTGTAACATGTCATTCATACAGAGTGTGACTAAAACAAGTAACTTGCCCAAAATGTTACTCTTTGTCTTGTTACAGATTCCACACCTAGCAAAGATTCATTCTGGAAGCTTGTTGTTCTGCCAAAAGTTATTTTCCTCTGTTTAACTATGTTCACACTGAGTGGATGCTTGAGCTTTCTGGATCCTACCATGTCACTATTTGTCTTGAAAAAGGTAGGTGCAATTGGGGGAAAAGCCTTTCATAAAAATGCTTTATCTAAAATTATCAAAATCAACTAAAATTGTATAAGATTATCAATTTTGCGAGGGTCCTGGTTGGAATTCCATAAGGGTCAGTCACAAGAGGTGTCCTAATGGCAGTTGCTGTCTTGTAGCTTTAAGGCCAGGTGAAGTGGGAAATGCAGTGCTGCAGGTAGAGCTCAGCCAGGTGAGCAGATGACAAGCTCTTCCTCTCTATAACTGCAAAGTGGAGCCGAGTTAATTGAGTTAGTGGACATTCCTAGCATTCATAATGCTAAAGCCTAAGTGAAATAAACACAAATGCAATTTTCTGCTGCATCCTAGGCAGATAACAACCCTTAATAATTTTTGTTTGATTTTATTTTTGTTTTTAAAGTACTAGGTTTTTTTAAAAATAAACCTGTTACTCATAACAAAGTTGTGCTTTGTGTTCCAGTATAATTTGATTGATTTCAGACACAAGGAATATCTGGACGGTGTACAGAAATAAAATGTGAAACATCATGCCAATGATAAAAGAGTCTTAAAACTAAAGAACAAGATTCTTTAAATGCAGAGAATTAAATAGGCTAATCTTGGAGAAAACTAAAAGTATTCAGCAAACACTGAAAATATTAAACTGTTGGGGCTTGTTTCACTTCTAAATAGGAGCCCATTTCTCTACCAGTGAACTTTTTCATTTTGTCCAATTTTGTTGAGGTTAGAGATGGGAAGGCCTGGGGAATATGGTTTTATTTAGAGATGGGAAGGCCTGGGGAATATGGTTTTATTCCCCGGACTGGGGAAAACTCGGGGGGGGGGGATGCAGATTTTTGCCTGTTTTTTTTTCATTTGGAAGAAAACGGGGGGGGGGACCTGCCCCCCATTTTTTCCAGTCTTTTCCCAGGCTTTCCCATCTCTAGTTGAGTTTATTTTTTTTTAAGTATTTCTTTTAAAAAATGCAGAAATGTTGCCTTTTCATTTTTATGTTTGTTTGTTTGTTTGTTTGTTTGTTTGTTTGTTTGTGTGTATAAATTGCATAAGAATATATTGCCCAGCTGCAACAATGAACATTACTGAGGGTCAGATGCTATTTTTATGAAATATCAAAAAATGTGTTTTCTTTTTCTAGTTCAAATTGCCTGCTGGTTATGTGGGATTGGTCTTCTTGGGGCTGGCACTCTCCTATTCCTTATCTTCACCGTTGCTTGGTTTTCTCAGTGATAAATTCCCGGTGAGTTCAAAATCCTGCTGTGATTCTACATGATAGAGTGATTAAAGTTCAGTAGGCTTCATAACTAGAAATTCCTCTTCTGAAGTCAAAACACAACCAATCCCACAGGCCTCACTATGGGTAGAAACAGTGGTGCCTGGTGCCCATTTCAGCCAAGCCATATCCAACTGCCCATTATGTAAGATTTTGGTGAATGTTCTAAGTCCTGGAACCTCTGCAAATTGCAGATGCCCCCTTTAGACAAATGAATACAGAAAACTTTAAATTAATGGGTAAAAGCTGCAGTGACAATAGAAAGCTGGAAAACCAACCAGTTTTGAAATGACTCCATTGATCCCAAAGACCATCTCAAAGTATGAGGCTGGGTGCTGGTTTTGTTTGTGCATCACAGCCTATCCTGAATGTCACTGTTCTGCCTTAGAAAATATGAAGTGACACTTATAAAATACCGTATTTTTCGCACTATAGGACGCACTTTTTCCCCTCCAAAAATGAAGGGGAAATGTGTGTGCGTCCTATGGTGCGAATGCAGGCTTTTGCTGAAGCCTGGAGAGCGAGAGGGGTCCGTGCGCACCGACCCCTCTCGCTCTCCAGGCTTCAGGAAGCTATCCCAAGTCTTGCAAGCCCGGCGGGATGTCCCGCGGGCTCGCAAGGCTTGCGGGCAGCAGCCTGCACCCAAAAGCTGGGGACAGCGGGGAGGCGCAGAGCCGCCACCCCGCTATTCCCCGACCTGATCTGGAGGCTGGCGGGGGGAGAAGCAAGCCTGCTTCTCCCCCCCCAGCCCCACAAGCTCGGGGGATAGGGGGATGGCGAAGCGCCGCCATCCCGCTATTCCCCGACCTGATCTGGAGGCTGGGGGTGGGAGAAGCAAGCCTGCTTCTCCCCCCCCCACCATCCCCACAACCTCCAGATCAGGTCGGGGAACAGCGGGATGGCAGCGCTCCGCCATCCCGCTATTCCCCGACCTGATCTGGAGGCTGGGGGTGGGAGAAGCAAGCCTGCTTCTCCCCCCCACCATCCCCACAACCTCCAGATCAGGTCGGGGAATAGCGGGATGGCGGCGCTCCGCCATCCCGCTATTCCCCGACCTGATCTGGAGGCTGGGGGTGGGAGAAGCAAGCCTGCTTCTCCCCCCCCCAGCCCCACAACCTCCAGATCAGGTCGTGGAATAGCGGGATGGCGGCGCTCCGCCATCCCGCTATTCCCCGACCTGAACTGGAGGCTGGGGGCTGGAGAAGCAAGCCTGCTAGCTTCTCCCCCCCCCCAGCCCCACAACCTCCAGATCAGGTCGGGAAATAGCTATTCCCCGACCTGATCTGGAGGCTGGGGGTGGGAGAAGCAAGCCTGCTTCTCCCCCCCACCAGCCCCACAACCTCCAGGCTTCAGGAGAGCCCCACCGCCAGCCCCACAAGCTCGGGGGACAGCGGGAGAGGCGCAGCGCGCCCTTCCCGCTGTCCCCCGACTTGGCTAGAAGGCTGGCGGGGGGAGAAGCCTGCTCCTCCCCGTCGCCAGCCCCGCAAACTCGGGGGACAGCGGGAGAGGCGCAGCGCGCCATCCCGCTGTCCCCCGACTTGGCTGGAAGGCTGGCGGGGGAGAAGCCTGCTCCTCCCCGTCGCCAGCCCCGCAAACTCGGGGGACAGCGGGAGAGGCGCAGCGCGCCTTTGCCGCTGTCCCCCGACTTGTCTAGAAGGCTGGCGGGGGGAGAAGCCTGCTCCTCCGCGTCGCCAGCCCCGCAAACTCGGGAGACAGCGGCAGGGGCGCAGCGCGCCCTTCCCGCTGTCCCCCGACTTGGTTAGAAGGCTGGCCCAGCCCCGCAAACTCGGGGGACAGCGGGAGAGGCGCAGCGCGCCATCCCGCTGTCTCCCGACATGGTTTGGAGGCTGGCGGAGGGCTTCCTCCTCCCCCAGCCCCGCAAGCTCCCAGAGCGATGCCAAAGCTGCGCGCAGCTTCGGCATGGCTCTGGGTCCCGTTCTGGGGGAGGGGGAAGCTCGGGCTTCCCCGCCCCAGCCCCGCGCCTGGCGGGGGGGGGGGAATAATTTTTTTTTGCCTTTATTTCCCCCCCCAAATCTAGGTGCGTCCTATGGACCGGTGCGTCCAATAGTCCGAAAAATACGGTACATATTTTTTTCTCCTGTCAGTTGAATTAATTCAAATGTAGTTATTTTGACAAAATTCAAGTCTTTCACTTCTGTTTCTTGCAGTACTTAAGGAAGTGGCTAATGATTTTTGGAGGCATACTGACGGCATTATGCTACTTTATGTTAGGACCAGCTCCCATCTTGCACATCGAAAGGTAATGCACACTTGATGAATGTGTCTCTGGCACTGGCAGTCTGCCCATGTTCTGAAGCTTTCAAACTTATTCAGAAATCAGTAAGCAGGGCAGTGTATGTTCTGCCCTCAAATATTCATATTTTGTACCCAAAAGCTGTTGAATTCTAACATCACATATGTGGTCCCCTTATGACCTTAGTCAGCCTGTACACAGCCTGCTGTTTATTCTGCCAAGAAAAGAGTGTGTACCATAGAGCTTTTGGTATTCCTTACCCCTTACTTTTAACTTGAAATGTTTAGAAGCATGCACCCCCTTTTTTGAAATAAAAATGAAGACATTTACTTCCATCTCATTTGTGTCCAAGGAGCTTAGGAGATAGTGTAAATGGGGGTTATCCCAGCAGTAAATGCCACAGATTCAAGCTTGGCCTTCTCAATTCATGCCCAGAGTGCCCTGACAAACAATATTTTCTCATTCTGTGGGAGATAAATTTAAGGTCCTTTCCTTGAGCTGAAAAGCTGGTTATGGAGGTAACATAGCAGCATCTTGTATGCTCTTAGGCAAGTCGTCATGCTGCACATCGCCTCTCAACTCAACTCCTCATGGCAAACTTAATCTCTGAACTACATTTGGGAAGCTGCCTGCTCAGAGTTCAGAGATTATGAAGGGTTTGTATGTTCAGCACAGTCCAAAAATCATGATGATTAGCTTAGAACTTCAAGTGCCTGCCTGTGACTAACAAAATCGCAATTTCATTATAGGAATTTTGTATTCTACATTATTGGTTAAAATTTTGGCTTTTATTCTGTTTTTTTATTTTATATAAAGCAACTTATCAAAAGTCACTAACACACATTGTTGTTAGAATAAAAAGGTAAAGGGACCCCTGACCATTAGGTCCAGTCGTGGCCGACTCGGGTTGCGGCGCTCATCTCGCTTTATTGGCCGAGGGAGCCGGCGTACAGCTTCCGGGTCATGTGGCCAGCATGACTAAGCCGCTTCTGGCGAACCAGAGCAGCGCACGGAAATGCCGTTTACCTTCCCGCTGGAGTGGTACCTATTTATCTACTTGCACTTTGACGTGCTTTTGAACTGTTAGGTAGGCAGGAGCAGGGACCGAGCAACGGGAGCTTACCCCGTCGCGAGGATTCGAACCGGCGACCTTCTGATCGACAAGTCCTAGACTCTGTGGTTTAACCCACAGCACCACCCACGTCCCTGTTGTTAGAATATATTATTACTAATACTACAATCGGGGGGGGGGGGAAATGTTGTTACCAATGCTAAAAAATGTTAATATATAAATTAAAGGTATAATGAAGTGTGTGTTTGCTTATTATTTTATTTATTAAATCTATATCCAATGCCTTCCTCCAAATGAGGAATGTTGCATCATTTCCTCAACTTATTTTGGGATTTTGATTTCCCTCCCCCAGCAAACTCTGGCTCTTTGTTCTAATGTTGGTCCTGATGGGTTTTTCCCTTGGAATGAGCGGTATCCCGATATTCCCTGAAATGCTCAATCATGCATAGTAAGTTATTGTCTCTCCATACACTTTGGAAAAAAAATGTTATTCTTTGGCAGCTCATTGCAAGCGAATTGGAATAGGGTTCCCTAGTTCTGTAGTGAATTCCTTTGATGATTATAGATCTGTGCCAGGATACTTTATATTGAGAGGCAGAGAGTCTGTTCCTCCCAGATGTTGTTGGACTCCCAGCCAATATGACCCAAAGTTAAGAGATGATGGGAGTTGCAGTCCAGTAACATCCAAATGACCACAGGTTCCTCCACCCTATTTCATATGCAAAGCTAAGACAACATATGAATTAAGATGATGGCAGTGCTTTTATTTTTTAGAAGAATGGCCTCCCTCCCTGAGCTAATGAACCCTTTCCCCAGTGTGAGTACCACTGGAGTACCATTGTGGTACCTTTCACTTGCCACAACCACGTCTTCCCTGCAGGAAAGATTGCAGCTGCCTTTGAAAGCCAAGGCAGGTCTGTTTTGAATGCTGCTACTTTGTGATTTTATGACTTGTCTTCCAAGCTGCAGAGCTCCAAAACTTGCATTTCAAAATGAAAAGTTGGTACCTTTGGAAATGATCTGTTTGTTTGCCTTTTGTCCTGCAGTGAGAATGGCTTTGAGGAAGGATTAAGCTTGTTAGGCCTGGTATCTGGACTCTTCAGCGCAGTATGGTCACTTGGGTATGTAGAAGGTCATGGATGGCCTATCATTTGCACTCCCGTGTCCTCCTCTCTTCTCCGTGTGTTGATACTTACAGAGCCAAAGCAACCCTGCTCACTCACAGGAGGAGAGGTCTCATAGGTTTGGGGATGGGGGGTGAGTACAAAACATGACTTTATGTGGGTTACATAAATAAGAGTTCCATTGGAGAAAACCCCCAAAATATTCATTGTGTAAGAATGTGAGTGCTGTGTGCAGGGCCGGATTTAGGTTTGATGAGGCCCCAAGCTACCGAAGGTAATGGGGCCCTTTATATGTCCACCTGTCCTTTGTCAACAACAAATTGTCACTGGTTTTTGTGTTGAATATATGCTAAATATGCCCATTACTTACACAAAACACTGTTGCTGTGTGTAGGTTTTATTTTATTTTATTTGTTTTCATCTTCTATTTTGGAAATGTACATCCAGTTCACCACCCCCCCTTTAAACGTTTTGGGGCCCCCAAGAGAGTGGAGCCTTCAGCTATAGCTTGTTTAGCTTCTACGTAAATCCAGCACTGGCTGTGTTATAGTGACAATGGGGAAGAAACTAGAGGGGAAATCATACAAGTAAAAATAAGGGCCCTTTCAGACTCTTAGCACACATTTCTAAGCCCCTGTTCAAATAATTCAAAAGACCTTTTTGTTTCTAGAAATAGCTACTGGACTTGATCCAATTGACCACGAGCACAGCTCAGAACTCAGAACTGTTTTGACCAAGGGGAGGGGCAGAAGGGGGGCATGCCCAGGTCACCCTTTCTTATAGTTGTTTGATTAGGGGCATGCCCTTTGGGGACCGGGTTGAGCCCATGCATTTCTAGACTGGCAGCATTAGGTGTTCTAGGACACACCCACAACCTAAATTTAAAGCGAAAGCTTTCCTACCCCAAAGAATCCTGGGAAACAGTAGTTTGTTAAGGGTGTTGGGAATTATAGCTCTATAAGGGAGAAACAGCAGCTCTGAGGATTATTTGGGAGAAGCCATAGCTATTCAATTGGTAAAAATGTGCTTTAAATATACCAAAATTGTGGAAACCTTTTGGAAAAAAAGTATTTCTGAGGTTTGATGGCTCGTAACACCACTTTTTTGGGGAGTAATTCCATGAAATTATTCAATGGAAAGATAATTTAATGAAGAATGTCATGCAACAAAGTTTGTTCAATTTTCTATATTCTATCAAAAGAAAAAGGAAGCACAACTTTCTTAGGTTGATATGCAGTAGCTTTCCCTCATTTGAATGTAGCCAATGAGCATGAGTGTTCAGAGAGCCAATCGGGTGTTATGAGCCATCGAACCTTGGAAATACATTTTTTCCAAAACGTTTCCACAATTCTGGCCGCCAGTGTGTGGTGTGGATGTGAACCTAGGTAAAATAATTTATCTGGATCCAGAGGTGATTGGAGCAGAGGATAAGGGCGGGAAGGGTACCAGCTCAGAAGACTGGAAAAAATTATTGGAAATCTAGGTTTCAATCCATGATAAGTTAATTGCACTTTGTGAAAAGTTACTCTTGACTAAGTGAAGTCCCATTGAGAACCAAGTGTGACTAATGTAATAATAGTTTATAAACTCAACACGTTTTGAGCTGTCAACATGTTTTTTTTAGGGGCACTAACTATGCAAACCAGTCTTTTATAATGTCTTGGGCTAGCCACACCTTTCTGGTCTCTTGTCTTGCAGAGCATAGTAAGCAGCTGCTGTTCTGGCAGGGGGCAGAATTACCCGGGATCCTTCCAGTGGCCCATACTGGGTGGGGGGGGGATGTTTTCGTTTAGCTTTTCTTAAGAAGTGGTGCAAATTCTTCAAAGCACCTTGAATCATAACCCGGGATGTGCAAGCTGCATTGGTCATTATTTCCCAGACCTATGTTAAATGTGTGTTTCGCTCCCTTCTCCTAGGTCTTTTGTAGGTCCAACATTAGGTGGATTTCTAAACGACAAGCTGGGTTTTGAATGGGCTGCAGCCATACAGGGTGGATTTGCGCTGATAAGTGTATGTAAACCAGTGTTTTCTTGATATGAGCTTTTATTACGTTTGTATTTGAAAGTGTGGCACATTGCAAATATACTATTTGTTTTCTCTTCAGGGGTTAGCTCTTGCAATATATTATATCTACGAGACCTTGCACAAAAGAAGGTACTATGACTACTTTTTAAAAATGAATTAAAGGGGGGGGGAATTACAATTTTCATTTAAACTTACAAAGAACCATTTGAGCAAATTGTTAAGTTTTTCCTGCTTTACTTCTGGATTATTCAGCTCGCTGTAAACTAAAAATTATTTACTCAAGGTAGCAAACAAAGCCCCTTCCCATTTTATCCTCACAACAACTCTGTGAAGTAGGTTGGGCTGAGAGAAAGCATGACTGCCTCAGAGTTGCCCAGGGAACTTCATGGCTGAGTGGGGACAATATTTTTAACAGGAAAAAGAGACCCAGCAGTAGAAATACACAATAAGTCAGAAGTCAGACTACAAATGATTTCAAAGGCCTGGGTGAATTTAAAAAAGTCACCCTCCCTATGAAGAAGGAACTGAGCGAGCCTCTGTGAGAAGACTATTCCACAACTGGGATACCCCCCTCACTGCTATGTTTTCTATCAAAATACAGCTGCTGGGGGTGGGGGAAGTTGATCAGGATAGGGGCCATGGCATAATCCTGATGAAATCTGTTATGTACTGAAGTTCTCACCCTGGGCCACCAGGGGGATACTGTAGATGAAGGCTCGAAAGTGACGTTCAGTGATTGGATAGTTTTAGAAAGTTGTTACAATAACGTGGTACTGGAGCTCTATATAAGCAGGCTGACTGAGCCCTTCAGTTCAGTTCTGTCCTGGCCTGTGAATAAACAAGAGCTGTTTGAAGAATCGCTGTGTCGTCTGATATGTTCACCCACAACTTAACAAAATCTTTCATCTAAAGCTGCTATTTCCCACAGGAGGGAACTTCCCGACAGCAACTTCAAGGCAGCTTCAGGGAGAGAGATTTTTCCTGGGACTGAGGCATTGGCTGGTTTAGCTCTGGCACTTAGCCATATTAGCCATGGCAACTTGTTTTGATTCCCCCGCACATTCAAGTCCAAATATTGCTGTGTCGTGGTGGTGAGTGAAACCGTGTGTCTCGTCACAGCCACTAAGACTAAATCATGGTTCGCAAAAGAAAGAGGAAGGGAAAATGTGAAACCGCACTGAAGCAACACAAATCCATTTGCAGCTCTACAGCCTTCTTCCCTTTTAATAGGCAATTTTTTGTTGGCATTTTTAAAATTTATTTTGCCTTTCTGTTTTAATATTGCTGTGGATGCTGAGAACATTTTGAACCTAGTCTTTTTTCTTTTGCGCAGATCCCGTCCCCAGAACCTTCCAGGCACAGAGGAAGAAAGGGCTCGTCTTCTGCCAAGTGCAACGTAGCTGGAAGCCTTCCCTGCTGCCAGTTTAAAGCTACTTTTGTACGGATAATTTAGGAGCTTGATACACAGGCCAGAGGCAAGCAAACAACTGAAGGTGGCCACCTTTGCCTCATGCCACATGGTGGGCTGTAGGTTCTTGACCGCTGTACTGTGGCATTCTGATTCTAGAGTGAATGCCTGTGTTTTTGGACAGTCGTGTGATAGACCTCTTTGGGCTGGTTCTACGTGAGAGCAGCAAGGTTGTCTGGTGGACAAAAGTACTTTGCACAATGTGAAAATAATATATTCCACTATGTGAAATATGTTCCGTAATGCTCTACTTTTGTACTCTAATATCACCGATGGTCAGCACTCAGTAAACTTAGTTTCTTCAAAAGTGTGTGAGATGTTCTAGGGCATTTTGCTAATATTTTTTTAAAAGATTAATATTCTTAGAAACTTTTTAAGGTATATTGTGACCTAAAACTTTTGTCTGCCTGCTAATTTAAAATAAAGAACACTAAAAGCTGTTTTATGTGTACTTTTTTCTGAATGTGGAAAATTACTGATTGTCTGAGAAATTGATTCGTGTCCAGCAAAATTGTCCTGTTGATGCAAAACCTTTTGCTTGTGCAACTGAACTTCCATTCCCTTTTCTCTTTCTCCACACGCCCCAGTTCAGTTCTGTTCTGGTGGCTCACTGTAGCCCCCCTGAGCGGATTGGTGGGGGGATTTAGAGAGAAGGGAAAGGAAGGGGAAGTCATTCTACAAGTGGAAACCCTTGTGCAAACAGGCCAGTGTCCTTAGATGCCCTCATCATGCCCCAGCTGCTTGTACTGCATGCACAGTCTAACCCCAGAGAATTGTTTTGCATTCCAGTGTGTGTGCTCATCTCCAGTAAATGTGGACTTTTCCATTACCTTCAATAAAAGAGACAAGCACATTCTTTTGCAAGGTGTAGAGCTGCCCTCTTCATTTGAAAAACATTGCTTCCTGCTTTGTTAATTATAATAATTTAATAATAATTTATTATTTATACCCTGCCCATCTGGCGAGGTTTCCCTAGCCACTCTGGGCGGCTTCCAATAAAAAGATTTAGAATACATTAAAACATTATTTTATTCATTGCACTTATATCCCACCTTTTCCTCCAAGGAGCTCAATGTATACGTGGTTCTCCACCTCCTTATTTAATCCCTTCAACAACCCTGTGAGGTAGGTTAGGTTGAGAGAACATGACTGGCCCAAGACCACCCAGTGAGCTTCATGGCTCACTGGGGATTTGAACCTGGTCTCCAAGATTCTAGTCTGACACTGCTTCCAGCAGACATTATATAAGAAAGAGGTCTTGGAGGAAATATGCATGTGGGTACCTTGCAAATAAAAATCTAATTCAATGTAGCCATAAATTCGTCTGGCTTCTGTTGAAGGTAGATCTATGACTCCTGTTAGCAGGCAGAATTGCCATTCTGCAAGTGGATGGTGGGGCTCTGCCAAGATGGCATTAAGTTTTGAGTTTCCCTAAATATATTAGTTCTCTATTTAATAAGATGATGTTGAAACTTGTCGGAACATAGGAGGATGCTTTCTGCTGAGACACACACCACTGGTCCCTTAAGGGATTGTGTACACACGGGATTTTCAGTAGCTCGGCAAGATGTTTCCAATTCCCAACTGTTAGCACTAGCAGCAACCAAACAGATGTTCCTACCTAAAAGTAGCCTGCTGAAATGTTTGAACTGTTTGAACTGTTAGAATCCAATACTAAGAATTTATCAAGAATGTATAACTTGTTGCTGAAATGGAATACACAGGATGAAACGGTGAAATCAGCTATGATTAAATGGGCACAAGATATTGGTCATGACATTATGTTTGCTGACTGGGAACAGTTATGGACCACCGGTGTTAAGTTCACGGCATGCAATGCCTTAAGAGAAAACATAATGAAAATGATTTACAGGTGGTACATGACCCCAGCCAAGCTTGCAAAAATTTACCATTTGCCCGATAACAAATGTTGGAAATGTAAAGAGACTGAAGGAACCTTCTATCACCTTTGGTGGACATGCCCGAAGATTAAGGCTTTCTGGGAAATGATCTATAATGAAATGAAAAAGGTACTTAAAAGTACTTTTCTTAAAAAACCAGAGGCCTTTCTCTTAGGCATTGTCGGCCAATTGGTGCCAAAGAGGGATAGAACCTTTTTCATGTACGCTACAACAGCAGCAAGAATACTTATCGCAAAGTACTGGAAGACACAAGACTTACCCACTCTGGAAGAATGGCAGATGAAAGTGATGGACTATATGTCACTGGCCGAGATGACAGGCAGAATCCGTGACCAAGGAAAAGAGACGGTGGAAGAAGAATGGAGAAAATTTAAAAGTTATCTTAAGGACTATTATAAACTTGATGAATGTTAGAATGTTATGGTTTTCAGAAACAAAGGGATACAGCGATATAAGGTCAGATTATAGAGATAATTAAGGACAGAGGTTGGAAAGTAATATTGGGAGTTGCTATAAAACTATGGACATTGGGATGCAGAAAGGGGGGGGTATGGGGGAGTCCCAGAAAAGAGGGTTATGAGAAACAATATGAAATTATGCGTGTTTGTATGTCTTTTTAAGTGTTTGTTCGTTTTTAAAATTTTGTAAAACCAATAAAAATTTAAAAAAATAAAAAATAAAAGTAGCCTGCTGAAATGAAAGCGAAGCAAGGGAGGATTTCTGTGCAAAAGGACAGACTGCAGCTCTGCTCTTGTCTTGAAAAGTTCCTTGGCTCCGAACGTATTCAGAGGCACACTGGGTGTTTGTTTAAAAGCACTTTTGAACTGTTTAAGAATGTGTACAAAGCTACACAAAAAATGCCCCATAAAAACAAAGGGTGGGATTCAGCTAAATGAGTCTCATCAACGGAATCCCTTCACAAGAACTTGCACAATGGGGCTTCTAACCTTTCCTCCCTCCTGCATGCCACCTTAAATTGCCTTGGCAGAAGGGGTCAGGAAACAGCATTGGGGTGTGTGTGGAAGGGGAGACTGTTCCATCTGGCAAGCCAAAATGCAGTGGAAAGATTGCCTTAGAAGGATTTATCGGTAGAAATTCAAACTCTGTGTGTTGGGCTGCTAGCTCTGGAAGGTAGATCTTCCTGGGCTTCTAGTTCAAATAACAAAACACACAAAGTAGAGTTGGCAAGCCTGCCCAGCCTCAGTCTACACTGGCTGGCAATGGCTCTGTTGCGTTTCAGACATGACTCTCAAATCTGCCTGAATATGCCATGGATTAATCTGGAGCCCCCAAAGCAAGTTCTCCATCACTAAGCTATGGTCCCATCCCCTAGGCACAGAGAAAGATCACTGGTCACCTGCAGGTCGCATAGGGAGCCACCAGCATGTGATTTCAAAAGATGGTAACAGAGCTTTCCCCCCATGAAGCATCATCATCACCACCACCTAGCAAATCATCCATCATGGTGATGACTGGGTGGGAGGGAAGGACCAGATGTTGCAGTTGTCCTTAAGGAGGACTGGCCACCAACTTTTGGAAGCTGTGAGCAAGTTCGAGGTACAGTACTTCAATAACTGAAGGTAGACACAGGACAAAGGAAGCAATGTTGCCACAGAAATTCTGCCCCATGTTCTTGTTGATCTCTGCATCTGGGATTCAAGACATTACCTGGATCCCATGAAAGTCTTACTGTTGAGTGATTCTGCAGAAAAAACCTGCTGTGACTGCTCTGACTTTCAAAGTAGTCTATTTGCTTTTTTAGGATGAATCTTTGAACCACGAATTTCAAGTTCTTTGCCTGTTCTGATGCACCTTCTTCAGCCCTCTGCATGAACTCACCAGCTTTAGATTGGCAGCGCTTGCTTTTAGGCCAACAAACACTGTTGTTAGAAGAGCCTGCTTCTCTGCCTTGTGCAAGAGTTTAATCCAAGGTTAATTCAGTTTGTTGAGTTAGGCAATCTGCGTTTCACAATTTTACCTCCCCATGACTGGAGCTTCAGGAACTTCTTTAAAAATCAGGTAACTTCCTAGTCCTTCTCATTTTGAGCAGCAGACGGGCAGATTCCACCAGCATGGCGATCTTCCAGCTTCACATTTGTGCTGCGTTTCTGATGGGAATGATTCTCCCTTCTTCTGCCTTAGAGGATACCTTCATTGCCGCTGTCTATGAGCATGCTGTGATACTGACAGGAGACACTCCGAGAAACGTCTCTCGAGCAGAAGCCTTGGAGCTGATGAACAGAAATCTAGACATCTTAGAAGGAGCCATCAAAACAGCTGCCCAGCAGGTACTACTGCATACCAGTCAGAGCAGATCAGCAGCAGCAACATCAGGGACTAGTAAACCAGATGGTCCTCCAGATGTTTCTGTACTGCAACTCCCATCATCCCTGGCCACTGCCCATGATGCTGTCTGGGGCCAATGGGAGTTGGAGCCGAACAGTATCTGATGGGCCACAGATTCCCCCACTCTTGAGTTGGATAGCAACCTTTTGATGGCAGTATTTGTCCTGGGGTTAATATGTCTGAATTGATGTCTTTTTGCAGGGCGCCCACATCATTGTGACACCTGAGGATGCCCTTTATGGCTGGGTCTTCACCCGAGAAACTCTATATCCTTATCTGGAGAATATACCAGATCCGCAAGTAGACTGGACTCCATGCAATGAGCCAAAAAGGTATTTTCTTGCCTGTTTCATGTTATTCATTAAGATAAAAACAGAAGCAGCTCCGGGGTGTAGCCTCAAAATCAGAAAATATGACTCAGATTCTTCTTTACAAACACACCTTCATTTGTTGTGGTGAAGTAATAGTGGAGTTCCCTGGTGCTTTTCAGGATATGTGCAGAATGGCAATTCCAGTACAATGTGGCATTTGTTCCTTTTTTTGGTTGGTTAAGAAATCCTGCCTAACACTATTGACCTGTTTAACCTAGAGAAGAGGAACTTAAGGGAGACATGGGAACAGTCATTCATCAAATATCTGAAGGGCTGTCAGGGAGGAGACGGAGCACACTTGCTCTCTGTTACTCCAGAGTAGGACTAGAACTAACGGTTGGAAATGGCAAGGGAATAGATTTCAGTTAAAGAAAACTTCCTAACAGTAAGCTGTTTGGCAGGAGCACAAAGGGCTTCAGGAGGTGATGAGGAAGTTAAGCAGAGGCTTAAGCAGAGGAACGCTGTCATCAGGCATGTCCCAGCAAAGGAAGAATGGATACAAAAACTTATGGAATATAAATGGTAAAACTTACTGGAAGAATAAGAAATCAGGATAAACTTTTAATAAAAGAATGGAAATGGTTTATTGAATATCTACAGATAAATTGTAAACAGATTAAAAAAACCTGGCAGGATTATTGTAATAACCTGCAGCTACATAAGAGTATATATATAACGAAAATAAATAAATGAGTAAGTTAAGTTAATTTGGACATGCAGAAGATATTAAAAATAGATTTAAGGAACTGCAGAAAGAGGGGGAAGGAAATCAAGTTTTAAAATGTCAAAATAACTGTAAAATCAGTGAAATGTATATATCTGAAATATATATATATATATTAAAGGAATGCTGTCCTCAGGCTGGATGGCTTCTTGGATCCCTTCCTACTCTGTGATTCTATGTTCGCACACTTTTATTTATTTAACAAAACTTATTTATACTGCTGGATTGTAAAAAGCCTCCAAACAGTTTACAAAGAGATAAGATGAAACATTGCGGATTATAGATTTTAAACAGTTTTTAACAGGTTTTTTCAAAATATATGAACAATGATTAGAATCAACAGTAACACGTGACATTTACATTAAACAAAAGTATATTAAACAGGTGCCAAAAAGAGCACAGGGAAAGTGTCTGCCTGAAGTCAATTGGTATGGGATTCCAAATGAGAAGATAAAAACCAGTTTGAAAATTCATGTCAGCATTCTGTTTGCCTGGATAGGCTTTCTGGATTAAAATATATATTAAGCTGGCAGCAAAAAGTACAGTGATGACACCTGCCTAAAAGATTTATTGCTTATACATGACAAAATGAGTATAATGTACATGCAACAGTGCAAGTTCCGCAAGTCAAAGCAGTTGTCTGGGCAGATACAAGGTAGGGCAATCCTGCAAATAAACCAACTCCAAGCTGTTACGGATTTTATATGCCAATAGTGACACTTTGAATTTGGCCTGGTGACAAATGGGCAACCAGGGCAGAGATGTTCTGTGCTGACATGGCTTCACTCTTGCCAGGAACCGTGCTGTGCCATTTTGCACTAGCTGCAGTTTCCGGATCAAGCACAAGGGAAGCCTGACTCAGAGTGGATTCCTGTAATCCAGTCTTGAAGTCAGCAGTGTCCCAGCTTCCGTGACCATGCTCTCCAGTTCAGGAACAATTGCAGATGCTGCACCAATCACAGCTGATAAAAGCTCTTTCTAGCCACTGGGGTTACCTGGGCCTCCAGCGACAGAGCTGGACCCAGAAACACCCTCACTCTGCTCTTGTTGAGAGTACTAAAATAAAGGAACTCTTTTGGGATTGCTCTCTTGCATTTTATTTGAGCAGTGTTTCCATTCACAAGTTTTGATAGTGACCTAATTGGGGCAGCCGCCACTTAAAAGGAATTCTCAGTGAAAGCTGGAGATGCATCCATCTATCTATGAGAATCCATGTCATTTGATTTTAAAAAATACTTACCAGATCCCATTAAAGCTGGGATCTGGTTCCTAGGGTTAGTGATCAAAAAGCAGACTACACCTAACCATGAACCTAGTAAATTTGCTTCTAAGTAAACACATTTAGGAGCAGATATCAGATTACCTACAACGGGCAAACAAAACAAAACCCAAAATTCTAGACTTCTGCAAGTATTGTACCTGGTTCAATTTAGAAGCAATGCATCTGTTTGCTCAATTGTCTGCCATGAGGTGGCAGCAAAGGGGCGCCTTTGCCGCATGTCCTGTGAGATTTTCCTTAGTCATTCACCGGACTTCCCTGCTTATTGGATCTTGGTTCTCTATAAAAGAGAAATTCAGTCATGTGCTGATTCACTCCTAGTGAATTATTAACAATAATACTAAACAGAAAAACAAAACTGTCATTGTATAAATGGCCTGATTCATGCCTGCCAAATAAACTTTGCAGGGAGTATTTCTTTTAACAAATTTACTTGGTTAAAAATAGCATGTTGAAAAAGTTTTCCTTTTTAAAAAGAACAGTTTAGAATGCAGTCCTGTGCACCCTTACTTGGGAGTAAACGCTGCAAACTCAGTGAGACTTACTTCTGTGTAGGCATGCATAGGACTGCATTACCTGAAACTTATAATTCAAACTAAGTTGCATTAGTGCAAAATTACATGTAAATGTTTAATCATTTGCTGATAAATGCCGCAAAGGTAGTTGGCAGATGGCTTAAATTATATCGAAGTCAACTGGGTTTTAGCAGCCTGTTGGCAAGATTGTAGACAATGGTCTAGTAACAGGTAATAATGTTAGGAAGATGCAAAGGTTGCTCCTGGTTTCAAAAAACTGTTCTTTGCTCAGGGTGCTACATTAGAAGACCCATAGAAAAATAAATTAAAGAGGACAGATTATGCATGATCACAGAATTATTTTGAGGACAGGTGTCGAAAGGAAACTATGGATCCTCTGAGCCAAACCTGAAGCATTTTAAGAGCATTATTAAAAAATACCACTCAACTGCCTTAAAACAATAATATGCATTGTAAAAATTATGAGCGGAGAGACAAAGCTCCTCCTCATAAAATAAGTTGCTATATTTCCCAGGTCTTCTCTGCTTACATCATTCATTCTCATAGTATAGTCCTCCTATAAATAAAGATAATGAATTAATTAGCATGATGAGCATGAAGGAAGCTGATAAGCCCAGACTTGCAAGTTGGACAGAAGAGAGTATCTGTACTGGATAATCCAGTCTGTTCTTGATGCCCAGTTACATCCATATGCTTAGCACCAGGGCTGTCAGTTCAGTCACAGTCTGCACAGAGTGCACAGTCTGCACTCCGTGACTCATTTTACTCTCTCTGCACTTATATTACCAACATGTCCTGCCTACACTGCCCACATGCTACAGAAGGTGGATGGATCATATGGGAAGGGTATACTTGCATATGAATACAGTCGTACCTTGGATCGTGAATGCCTAGACTCCTGAACAAATCGGCTCCCAAACGATTGAAACCTGGAAGTGAGTGTTCTGGTTTTTGAACGATTTTTGGAAGCCGAACATCTGATGGGGACTTCTGTGGATTCTGATTGGCTGCAGGAGCTTCCTGCAGCCAATCAGAAGCCATGCTTTGATTTTTGAAATTTTTGGAAGTTGAGCGGACTTGTGGAACGGATTCTGTTCAACTTCCAAGGGACAACTGTATGGGCATAGGCATCACTTTACACCAAGGAGACTACAAGCAGTGGAAGAACATGCACAGGCCTCAGTCTTGGGCCTGTGCTTCATTCAAAATAGAGCCAGTATGAACTAACTCAGAGACAACTTGCTTGGTTTGGTTTTTTTTTAGTCTTATACCTGCCTTTGCCACTGTAATATAAACAGAAATGTGACACCGTTTTATTGCTGCTTTAAGATATCCTTGATCTTTTCTCTGGTCACTTCAAGATCTTTTCCCAATCACTCCATCTCCATCCCTGGACAAGATCGTTCCAAAACGACATTTCCCAATCTGGTGCCCTCCAGATGTTTTAGACTACAACTCCCATCAGCCACTGCTAGAATGGCTGGTCATTTTGAGGGCAGCAGGTTGGAGAAGGCTGATCTAAAGCCATGACTATTTATTGGACCAACTTCTTTTTTTCTGTCCCCAGCCTGGTAAGAAGGGTCCTTATTAGACCTGAAACCGTGCGTTCTTATTTTAATCTGCCACATTCTGAACTGATAGGGTTCACAAATGATCAGAATTAAATTGGCCTCTCCCCATTTTAATAGACATTGTATCGATGATTGACTTCTTCCTTTCAACATTAGGTTTGGGTCGAATCCAATACAGGGAAGACTCAGCTGCATAGCAAAGGAGAACTCCATCTATGTGGTTGCCAACATGGGGGACAAGAAGCCATGCAACCGCAGTGACCCCCAGTGCCCGAGTGACGGTCGCTATCAGTACAATACAGACGTTGTTTACGATACGGAAGGGAAATTTGTGGCACGTTACCACAAGGTAAGCGCTCTTCTCCATTTTGGTTCAGATGTTGCTGGACTCTGTCAGGCCTAGTCAGTTTGGCCAACGGTCAGAGATGATGGGAGTTTGTGCTCCGGGGGGGCTGCAGGTTCTCCATTTGCTATAGAAAGCACAGTAATGCACCCTAGGGTCAACACCAGTTATAGGAAAACTCAGCCCTCCAGTTATTTTGGGACTACAACTCCCATCATCCCTGACTACTGGTCCTGTTAGCTAGCGATGATGGGAACTGTAGTCCCAAAACATCTGGAGGGCCGAGTTTGCCTATGCCTGGTCTACACAAACACAGATAGTAATGCAAATTAATATACGTAGCTCAATTTGAATTAGAAGAAAAAGGAACTCCCATTTCTCCCACCCAAATAAGAGATAGGTATGCACTCATGTGGAGCAGGCAGAGAAGCTGCACCAGTATTCATGGATGTGTCTCGTTGAAAGAGAAATCACAATATTTGAGATGTTTGCTGTAAGGACTTTACTTGTAGATGGTTTTCACAAGATAATCCAGGTCTTGTAAGTGTGCTGAAAAACAGAGGCAACACCACCAACTTCTAGGAGAATAACTGTAGGTCAGTAGTAGACTATCCTCTTTGCACGCAGAAGGTCCCAGTTTCAGTCCTGGCATCTTCAGGTAGAGCTGGGAATGTCTCCTACCTGAAATCCTGGAAAGCCACTGCCAGTCAGTGAAGACAAGAGTAGGCAACACAGTGCCCTCCAGAAAGGAGCAGACAGCATCTTCTATCATCCTTGATCCTGGCTGGCTGGGGCTGGTGGCCTTTGGAGGGCACCATCTTGGTTTCCCTGGTCTAGACAATATTGAGCTGAATGGACCAATGGTCTGACTCGGTGTAAGACAGCTTCTTATGTTCCTAATACTATTTTCCCTGTCTCCATGAGGTGCTTTTCTTCCAATAATATCTGTATATATATTTTCTGTCTTATAAACAGTACAACCTTTTCGCTTCTGAAGTATACTTTAATTACGCCAAGGACCCACAGTTTGTCACCCTCAACACCTCCTTTGGGAAGCTTGGCCTTATGACTTGTGCCGACGTTCTTAATTATCGCGAACCTGCCATCTCGCTGGTGGAGAAGTACAAGGTGGACACCATCCTCTTCCCAACTGCTTGGCAGAATGGCTTGCCGCTCTTGTCTGCTGTTGAGTTCTACTCAGCCTGGGCAATGGGGATGCGTGTCAACTTCCTTGCTGCTAATATAAACAAGCCCAGCTTGGACATTACTGGTAAAGTGCTACCTTGAATAATCTCAGTGTAGATATAGATCTGGCAATTTGAGTGTGGGAAAGAGCACAGAGGATTAACCTATTAATTGCTATTTTTAAAATGTGATTTCCTTCAGAGATCAGCCTTATAAAATAATGATGGCAAACTGTGGCCCTCCAGATGTTGCTGGACTATAGCTCCCATTGGCCATGGTGCCTGGGGCTGATGGGAGTAGGAGTCCACCAGCATCTGCTACCAGTGCTAAAGTCGCAGTTATGAACTCGCTACCTGCCTCTTTCAAGACGGGCGATGAGCGCACAATGACATTCTGCAGGCAACACATTATTTGCATTAATACATTATTTGTCTTCACATGCCCAGTGCTGACCCAATACATTTTGCAGCTTGAGGCAAATGACAAAATGGTATGAACCAATTCCACCTACAGAAGCAGTTGGATTTTACTTCAGCACTGGCAAAGGGACAGCATCCTCCACTGTTTGTGTGTGTGTGTTTGCTTAATGCATTTATATCCCACCTTTCCCCGTATTTAGCTCAAGGTGGTGTGCATGATTCTCTTTCCTCATTTAATCCCCTCAACAACCCTATGAAGTAGGTTATTCTGAGAGGTAGTGACTGGCCCAAGGTCACCCAGCAAGCTTTATGGCTGAGTGGGGATTTGAAACCTGGTACCCCAGGTCCTAGTCCAACACTCTCACCATGACACCCTACGGGCTTTGAGGGTAACATGCTAACTTAGGGGGTTGCACACAGCTCTAATCTAAGTAGAAGAGAACATTTGGGGACTAAGGCCAGTTCCCAGGATCTGTTGCCTACCTTGCTTTGTCTAATGAGATGCATTCCCTGCTGAAGCTATTTGTGTGGGGGACCTTTGGCTTTCCAGATGTTGCTGAACTACACAACCCATCATCCCTGGCCATTGGCCGTGCTTGCTGGGATTGATGGGAACTGTAGTTCAGCAATTACCCACACCTGCTCTGGTCACTTCCCACCATTTGCCCTATGCATTAGCTTCTAGCCCCAAATCAGTGAATTGAGAGTCTGCTCTGCTTCCCTTTACCATTGCTGTTAGTACTCCATTCATTTGGGTAAAGGAATGGAATAGTAAAACTTATGCCTCACCCCAGTGTCTTTTGCCATCCACAGGGAGTGGTATCTTTACACCTGAAGGAGCCAAGGTGTATCGCTTTGATATGAAAACGCAGACTGGAAAACTCCTGGTTGCGGAAATCAATGCTCGCCCCCGTCTTTCCCCCACATACCCTCCTGCTGTCGACTGGAGCTTATATGCTTCAAATATCAAGCATTTCCCCGCAAGCCCAGTGTTTACTGCAAGCTTCTATTTTGATAATTTCACCTTCACTGAACTCTCTCAAGAAGCTGGAAACCACACCGTCTGCCAAAAGGGCCTCTGCTGCCACTTGAGCTACAAGATGGCAGAGAAGCGAGAGGATGAGGTTTACGCATTCGGAGCCTTTGATGGGCTTCATGTGATCGAAGGGGAATATTATCTGCAGGTAAAGGGTTTTGTGAGGTAGGGTGAACAGGCCATGTGGAAGGGAAATGCCCTACCAGTGGGAGTGGGGGAGAATGTGGCTCCGTACTCATTTAAAGGCAAACCTACCCAGCTCGGAACAATATGTGAACCAAAACACAGCCATCATTTTAAATGGCACATTCCTGAATTTTGCACTGCACTTCTCCGGTCAAGTAATATGTCCAGCCAAGAGGAATATATTCCGGTAATATGTGCATAAAATGCAAATATGAGTGAAAACAACATACAGAAACACATTATATTAGAGGGGGGAAATCTATATATTGGGCCAAATAGCACATTAAAAATTAGTGTATTAAAATGCTGGTGAATTTTCTTGTGAACTTCTTTAAAAGAGAAAATTCACAAACTGATGTGGGAATATGGAGAGTTGAATTTAAGACTGGAAAAACAAGAAACCGAGAGAAAAAGAAACTGATAGTGTTTCCCATCCCTACCTCCCAACAATGTCTAGGATACATGTGTTTCATGCTTTCATTGTGGCAGAGCCTTTGAGGAAACCGGAAGCTGTACTCTCCAGAAGCTATTTTAAAAGCCTGTAAGAATCATTAGAGGGATTACTACTGAAGAAAAGAATAATCCCTATAAGACACCTCCCTGCTTTAGAGCACAGCCATTGCTTAGAGCAGAGCTGGCTGTAGTTGTTGGACTCATGTTCCCATCATCTCTGATCATTGGCCTCGCTGTCCGGGGCTGATAGGAACTGAAATCCAACAAATCTGGAGGGCCACAGATTCCACACCCCTGATATAGGGGGTGGGGATTATATATCACATTCATAACATGATTTGAAAAATTTAGTAGGATTCTGGGGAAAATAAGTCTGCTGAAGTCATTGGAGATGGTAGTCCCTTTACTTAACACAGTGCCACCATGTGGCTTCCTGCTTAACATCATATTCTGTCTTCGGTTTGTTTGCTTTTTATTGCAAGTGTCATGTAAATGCTAAGTACTCCCGGTATTGCATAGAGTTTTTCGAAGGATGCACACAAAAGCACAATGCATTTTATTTTATTTTTACAGAAAAGGCCTCAAAATTCTCTGTTGATTCAAAAGCAATCCTTGTTTGCTGGTCCTCACAAGGGAAGCAGAAAGATCCCCCCCTCCAAAAAAAATCCCCTAACCTCAATAAGGTAATGGTAAAGCAACCCCTGACCATTAGGTCCAGTCGTGACCGACTCTGGGGTTGTGGCGCTCATCTCGCTTTACTGGCCGAGGGAGCCGGCATACAGCTTCCAGAATATGTGGCCAGCATGACTAAGCCACTTCTGGCGAACCAGAGCAGCACACAGAAACACCGTTTACCTTCCCGCCGGAGTGGTACCTATTTATCTACTTGCACTTTGACGTGCTTTCGAACTGCTAGGTTGGCAGGAGCAGGGACCGAGCAACGGGAGCTCACCCCGTCGCGGGGATTTGAACCGCTGACCTTCTGATCAGCAAGTCCTAGGCTCTGTGGTTTAACCCATAGTGCCACCCACATCCCTGTAACCTCAATACTGTATTGCAAAAAGAATACTTGTTTATTTCTTCCAAATATTCTAGAGTTGTCTCAAAATAATCAGCAAAAGCAATCCAATTCAGGCTTAGTATTGTGCAGTGTTAGCATTGGTTTGTGTACTGTTTTGAATCACAGAAGCATCCTGTATAGCCCACTTACATGGGAAGTATCTTCCTCCATTCCATAAACACAAGGCTCTTTGAATGGCTTAGTTCTACAAAATAACCTTTCCCACAACCCTCTCTTTCCATAGATATGCACACTACTGAAATGTAAGAGCACAGACTTGAAATCATGCGGTGAGCCAGTTGAGACAGCTCATACCAGATTTGACTCCTTCACCCTCAGCGGCACCTTTAACACAAGCTATGTGTTTCCGGAAGTCTTGCTCACTGAGACTCAGCTGACCACTGGAGAATTTCAGGTAAGGACCAAAGTGGCTTCAAACTTCTGCGAAAGCAGTGACCCAAGCCATTTCTTAGATTAAAACAGCTCCTCCTCGCCATCTCTCAAAACAGTTGTGCTCCTAATCATTCAATAGTCACAGCTTTCTTTGTACCTAGCACTGAACTTTTTGAACAGCTCTCCCTGCTATGTGTGTGTGAATTTGGTCTCTCTCATCTTGCCTGTAGCAGAGTAGGGTAGTGAACTTGTGGCCCTCCAGATGGGAATGAAAGCCCAGCAGCATCTGAAGCGCAGGGGTGGAGCTTGTGCAAGGCCATTTGATGCCCTCCCTCCAGCTTACGGCGGGCATTGGGAAAGAAGTGTGGGGTTCTGGAAGGGTCTTAGAGCCTCCCCACCTCTTTCCCAAAGCCTGGCAAGCACTTGCCCAGCTTTGGGAAGGAGGACTCTAGGACCCTGGCAGAGCCCTGACACCTGCTTCCCAAAGCTGAGCAAGTGCCCTAAATCTGCCTCTGTGAAGGGCCACAGGTTCTCCAGCCCTGGCCTACAGTATTCAGCAAAGAAAGGCAGGCTGAGGCCTAGTCTACCCACTTTCCTTGCTTGCTCATTGACAAACAGTCCATGGAAGCTGCTGTTATGCACGTCACTCAGTAATCCTAAATGTATCTTGGGTGCAGGCACATGACTCTCACGGAAAACTGCTACAGCTTAAAAAGAAATGCATTACTTTTCACCATAGTGGGGAAGACTGCGGCCAGGTGACCGGCTGGCTCAGTCTGCTGTCTAGGTGACAGGTGTTGGTGGACAGCTATAAGGGCCCTGCTATCCCTTCTTTATTTTTAAGCTGGACTTGGACTGCGCAAGGATGCCTTCAAACAGGATGGATGTCCTGTGTAAAGAAGGATGCAAGGCCACCCTGTATCAGAGAACAAGAAAAAAACGGTTGATTGCAAGCACCTGTAACTTTCCAGTAATAAATGTTTGTCTGTATTTTCCTATGTATTCTAAGCCAAACATGTTTCCCAATGTATAACTTTTTGTCTGCCCTTTCCATCCTCCCAGGTATTGACTGACGGACGTTTGACAAGCAATGGCCTATCAAAGCCAGTTCTATCTGTGGCTCTTTTTGGAAGGTGGTATGAAAGGGACCCGCCACATCCAGAGGGTGCTCCTTCATAAGACTCATCCAATCACGATCATGTCTCTTTTCCTGAATTTTGTGGGTGCTTGTACAACAAAGGCGCAATGAACAGGATCAGTGTGTTCTGCTGCAGGACAAACCAAATAGCTTGTTTTAGGAGAAGTTAGCAGACACAAAGAGGAGATGAACACACCATTTAGCTACATGGCAGTTCCCCATTGCTTTAAACAGGAGCATGGGGCATACAATGAAGAAGGACTTTGGCTTTAGACTTTATTAATATTTGTGTTCCTCCTCTTGGTTGTACCCAAAAGAAATCTGCTGCTAGGGCAAATACAAACTATAATTCAGGCTCTAGAGGTTGTTGGACTCCAACTCCCATCATTCCTGACCTCAAGCCACACTGGCTGGGGAGGTTGATGGGAACTGGAATCCAGCAGCATTCAGAGGGCCACAGGTACCCTCCTCCCTGCTGTAAGCATTCAGACGACTAATTTGTCGTCTATCAGAAAGAAATAAACATTCCTTTGCTTTTCCTGAAACATGTACCCTGCTCAATAGGAATACTTAATAAAAGGTCTGTCGTCTGGTTCATTCTGAGAAAGCACCCAAAATGAACCTTTGTTGTTTGTGGGTGACTGGTCAGTCTTGCCCACACTTCATGAAGATACTAAGCACCCAAGACCCTCTGTAGGTCCAGGACCAAAATTTGTGAGTTTGTAATCTTCCTGTTGCCCAAATCATATGTCAGATTCCAAAATGGAGTCAAACTCAAACTCAGTCCCCAAAAGGATTCTGGGAAAGATGTGCTGCATGTGTTCTGATCCAGTTTCTTGTTCCTTACTTGGGTCTCCAGCTACGTTGTTCAGAGACTTATGCATACACTTGGGGAGGAATTCAACTAACCAGTCCTGCTAGCAGGAGCCCACAAAATGGCTTCTACTAGTGCAATATGGCTTTCTTCCTCCTCCCCCATGTATGCCCCCATGCTTTCCAAAATTGGCTCTGTGGGGTCAAGAGAAGCCCCCAAATAGTGCACAGAGGAAGGAGAGGAGAGATTGTTACATCAGCCAAGCAAGAATACTTGCACCGACTAAGTGCTGTGTTAAATTTCTCCCATGGTTTCTTAACTCATGGAAACTTGCAATTAAGTTGATGAACCTTGTTTTTTATTTCAGGCTTAATCAGTTAGATGTGCAATTTACTTCTGGTTGTTAGATGTCTCTGTGAATACTCAGTTTGAGTGGAAAAGCGACTCACTTACTTTGTAATGAATAAAATGTTTTGAATTGTCGTTTTTATGTTTACATTGCTTTTGCCCTTAAAATAAATATCATGCTTTAGTAAAGTAATTCCCCTTGGCTTATTTTGACATATATACACTCTGGTCCAAAACACCATTTTGTTATAAGTTGCTACACTGTACTGTGGTAAGTAAATCTTAGAAGAGAGAAGAATGGTGAGCCTGAAAAAATAGCCTATAAATTAGACTGAGAGGCAGTGACTGGCCCAAGGTCACCCAGTGAGCTTCATAGTTGACAAGGGATTTGAACCGCAGTGTCGCAAGCTAACCCACCATACTGGTCCATTGATCTTTCTTTTATTTATTTAGTACTGTTTTCTTCAAGGAAGTTGGCAGTTTTATATATTTACTTACTTGTTCGTTTGTTTTGTTAAATTAATGTGAGAAACTTTGGGACTGCTACCCGTAAAACAGGTGTTCTGAGTCTCTGACCTATGAATCATCCGTTGGATACACGTTGGCTGTGTGAGGACATACTAAGCTAAGAAATGGGAGGTATTCAACTAAGTTTTACTAAAGGAGACTTGTTGAAATTTAATGGACCTAACTTAGATATGTTCATTAATTTCTGTGGGTCTATTCTGTTGTTGTTGTTGTTGTTGTTTAGTCATTTAGTCGTTTAGTCATGTCTGACTCTTCGTGACCCCATGGACCAGAGCACGCCAGGCACTCCTGTCTTCCACTGCCTCCTGCAGTTTGGTCAAACTCATGCTGGTAGCTTCGAGAACGCTGTCCAACCATCTCATCCTCTGTCGTCCCCTTCTCCTTGTGCCCTCCATCTTTCCCAACATCAGGGTCTTTTCCAGGGAGTCTTCTCTTCTCATGAGGTGGCCAAAATATTGGAGTCTCAGCTTCAGGATCTGTCCTTCCAGTGAGCACTCAGGGCTGATTTCCTTAAGAATTGATAGGTTTGATCTTCTTGCAGTCCATGGGACTCTCAAGAGTCTCCTCCAGCACCATAATTCAAAAGCATCAAACCCAATAGTTATAGAAATATGAATAATCACTCTAGATGTTACCATTTTGATTTTAAACAGCTTTAGATTTAGCTGAAAACCACAATCCTGGCAAGAGATTGAAAACTATTGGCTGACAGGACTGTGACATCATTGCTTAGATTCCACAGCCACTGCAGATCAGTTTGTAGGCTATTCCATTTGGAGTTTCTGTTTACAGCCTTGGCCCAGTATACCTGAAGGAGCGTCTCCCCCCTCATCGTTCTGCCTGGACACAGAGGTCCAGCGCTGAAGGCCTTCTGGTGGTTCCCTCACTGCGAGAAGAGAAGTTACAGGGAACCAGGCAGAGGGCCTTCTCAGAAGTAATGCCCTACCTGTGGAATGCCCTCCCATCAGATGTCAGGGAGTTTAAGAACTACACAACTTTTAGATGACATCTGAATCAAGAAGTTTTTAACGTTTGACGTTTTATTATGTTTTTATATTCTGCTAAAAGCCGCCCAGAGAGGCTGGGGAAACCTAGGCAGGTGGGCAGGGTATAAATACTACTACTACAACAACTATTATTATTATTATTATTATTACTACTACTACTACTACTACTACTTTCATTGATATCTCTGCTGTCAGCTGTCAGGTCCCATAATCCTGATGGACATAATCGTGTCACAGTCCATTATAAGGGAGGAAGGTGAGGCATCTGCTTTTCCAGCTACAGTTACTGAGCTGAACTTTCACTTCTCTCCCCTTTCCTAATCAATCTGTTGCCACTTTTTATCAGATGCAAAAATCTCGCTTTGAGGCAGCAGACCATCTGAGGATGAGAGGCTCCACTGTTAGAGACAGTATTCTTTTGAATAACTGTTGCTGGAAACAGCAGGATGGGAGAGTGTTGGCGTGCTTGCAGTCTTGCTACACGCATCTGGTTGGCTACTACAACAAGATGTTGGCCTAAAGGAGCCAAATGCCCCGATCTAGCAGGCTCTGAAAGCATTCTGGGAAAGAGAATATGAAATCTGAGTGAAAGGATAGTCAATGGAAGGTGTATAGCATTCCATGTTGGGTGGGGGACCCCTGGGCTGGGTGGGGTGAAATGAGATGAGAGCAAAGAGGGAAGGACTGTCTAAATGTAGGGAAGGGGAGTAGGGAGAGGATTAAATCTCCTTTCACTATCTTGCTAAAAACTAGTGGGTGGGAGGGGAGAAATTCCTCTCCAAAACGGTACCAGCTAGGCTTAGGACAATGCTTTAATTTAGATACTGATTTCCCATCCCAGCAAAAGAAAGGTGATGATGATTAAATTTCTATATGTCCCTTTATCTGAGGAGCACACGGCAGTTTACCATTTAAAAATACAAAAATAAATAACACAGTAACAAACAATGTACCCTCCTCCAGTTTAAAAGGCCACAGATTGTTTAATTAGTCAAAGACCTTGGAGAAGATGAATGTTTTTGCTTGGTGCCTCATCTACCCTGTAGGCTCTTCGGTCACAGAAAGGGGCTGTGGCAGAGCACAGACTTTTCACTCAGAATGTCACAGGTTCAATTCTCAGCAATTTCAAGTAGGGCTGGGACTGACTCCTGCTGGAAACCCAGGAGAGCCACACCACTATGGTGTAGAGTAAACCAAGTGTTGTTGAACTACAACTCCCACCAGCCCCTGCAAGCATAGGCAATGGCAGGAGTAATGGGGCTTGTAATTCAGCAATATCTGGAGGCCCAAAAGTTCCCTCAGTAAACAATACAGAGAAGAGGAATGGAAGAAGCAAAAGTTCTTAATTATGTGTGCCATTTTGTCATATTTCCTTGCCGTGTTTTTCTCCCTCCCCTCAATACTACCTATTGAGGCACCACCACTCCCCCACCCACCCATGGCTGTTGGATCCTTCCCCATCCAAACAAACACCTCAGAACCTGAACCCACTTCAGTTTCTTCGTTTTCATTCCAGAGACATACTACTACCAACAACAAGTCAATGTAGCCTACATTACATTCCCCACAGTGAAATTAGACTCCCCACTCTCAGTGGGAAGTCTAGTCAACTAGCTATCTTGTTCATTCACTCTCCCTGGGTGTCTAACAACTAAAATATCAGTTAAAATCAGGCAGAATCTTATGCCCACACCAAAAGGACGACCCGTTATGACCACCCCTTCTATTATTATTATTATTATTTATTTAATTTCTATACTGCCCTATACCCGAAGGTCTCAGGGCGGTTCTAGCTAATTGTCCAAGCAGAATCTCAAGGCAGCCTTCAGACTTCTTCAAGGCCCTGCCAGAAACTAGAGCAGTGGGTTGCACACAAGCCCAGGAAGCAGGGCAGGTAGACAGCTTAGGTGGAAACGGCTTGCCTCGCTGCAGCTGGCCGATCTTTGAGACCTCTTGAAATGCTTGGCTTGACCTTGGTCCTGTTCAAGATAATTGCCATGTAAGTCTCTCTGTTGTTGAATATCAGCTATTGAAGAAACACTTTCTACGGCTGCCAATGTGCATTTCTCATGTACTAATTATATGGTACAATGACGTTTCTGAAATTCTTTTACGATTGTGACAGAAATAAGGGGGGTGTAAGAGAGGCATATCATTAACTAGCTGGAAAGCTTGAATAAAAAACAACTTTTATGTTGTTGGCGCACATATAAACTATTAAATGGCAGTTTCAAAATAAATAAATACACATTTGATGTGTGAAAAATAATCCAACTCTGAATGTTGTTGTCATTTGCTGCAGTAACTGCTGAGTAACATTTAAAGCCTTCATTCTTAAGAGATAGGGTGTGTACTAAATTTGCTTATCTTTCTGGTAGATAAAGTGCGCAATCAGCATTTAACCATCTGAGGGTTGATTGCGTATTTCTAATCCATCTGAATGGAGCAGGAACCGGCAAGCCACTCCAGTATCCCTGCCAAGAAAACTCCATGGACAAAGACAACAGGCATATAGTGCCTGGCGTGTTCTGGTCCATTGAGTCACGAAGAGTCGGACACGACTAAACGACTAAACAACAACAACAACCCATCTGATGTCTGTATATTCTCTCACCTGCAGGTTTGGAGAGCTGCTGATTGATTGTGAGCTGTGATCAGCACTTGAATGATCAATACTTTTAACCTCTGACAGCCTGTGATATCTTCATGTTCTTGATGGGCCTTGCCTGTGGTACTGTTGATGACAATTTGTAACATTGCTTCTACAAAGTATTGTATTTTCCTCAGTGGTAGTGCCCTTTGAAAAAGGCCATTGTTGCTACTAGGAAATCACCTTCATGGTGATATGAAGAGAGGAATTTAAACAAAATTTCCCCACTTCAATAAAAAGAAAGAATTCAGATGGTGCTGGATAAATGGAGGGGGGGGGACTCCTGAAATCCATAGGTTTTGGAACCCTATAAGTAAGGTAAAGGTAAAGGGGCCCCTGACCATTAGGTCCAGTCGTGACTGACTCGGGTTGCGGCGCTCATCTCGCTCTATAGGCTGAGGGAGCCGGCATACAGCTTCTGGGTCATGTGGCCAGCATGACTAAGCCGCTTCTGGTGAACCAGAGCAGCGCATGGAAACGCCATTTACCTTCCTGCCGGAGTGGTACCTATTTATCTGCTTGCACTTTGACATGCTTTCGAACTGCTAGGTTGGCAGGAATAAGCAAGGTAAAGGTATATTTTCCTATGGGACTTGTGAGGTTGTTTTAATTAGACCTTTCTTGTAGCAATCTACAGGAGAGGAAAAACACAGGAAAGACTATAAAAGGAAGTGAAAACAGGGTATTTTTTGCTATGGAATATTTCAAGGATCACTTCGTTAGAATGCTAGATAGCAGCTAGAGGGTTAATCCCAGCTTCCTTATATAAGCAGCACCTTGGTTGCTGCTGTGTCAGGTTACATACATTTGCTCTGACAGCTTTCATATGGACTACTTAAACACTGGAAACTGTTTAAGCTGTTTCTTCATCTAGCACATTCAGGTAAAGTTAATATTTTTAATGTGTTAGATTATTTTTCATAGAACCATAAAATAAGGAATGTAGGAAAGAGTAATTAAGATTATAACAGGAGG